TAAATCATATTTTTGTAATTATTTTTCTATAATACATGTTTCTATGATGAAAACAAAAAATTTGATATCATTATACACCATTTCATGTGATAAAATGTTTATTGTTAATTCAATTATGATTATATTTTTGTAATCCAATTTTTTTATTTTTTGTTGTTAATCAATGTGTATCACTACTTTGCATTTCATTGTGATAGGTCAGCAAACTTCATAGAAATCTAGTCCCGTGTATAAGTCCCATTTGGGGCCTCATTTTTAATTGATTTGAATTTCAGCCATATTTTTTTCATGTGACATTTCTTTCTGGATACTTCCACTAAACTTGTGGATGTCCACATCATCTAGATCAAAACCTGAATTCAATAAATCTAGGTCAGTAATAAGAACAAGAGAAACATTTACCTGAATACCACTGACAATGTACAAGGATAATAAGACCAGGTGTTCCATAAGAATATGCATCGTATGCTTCATCAACGACTCAGGCCATGTAGATATAGGTAAATCCTAACTGATACAGGTAAATCTAGGTATATTTACTGATACAGGTAAATCTAGGTAAATCCTTACTGATACATGCAATAGCTTATAAACTTATCAAATTTTGTGCCATTTAAACTCATTCTGAATATTCTAAAATACAAAATATGGAACAAGGGAAGTTTAAGATCTCTTGTGTGATCAGTTCAACGATTGGCTTCTTGACTTCTGAAGAAATTGAGTTTATTTGTCTTTATTAAAATTTTGTTATGAAAACAAATTATTTGAGTAATGCAAATTATAAATTCAGACATCATATTTAAGATCTCAAAGGACTAGGGTGGTTCTATTCTCAATCCTACTTTGTTTACTCAACACTTAAGCTTTTGTCTACATTTATTCATAAATCATTATTAATCAGCATTGTTAATTATTCTACATTAATTTAGTTGATATCCATGTACTAAGTCTCTCCTTCTTTATTCAGTGATCATACTTATGGATCAGGATTTTTGTAACAGCTTTACGTTTTGCTGAGTAAATGTTGATAAAAAAAATGTTACAACACAATTTGTTTTGATATTCTACAGTTTGTATAGATATATATAGAATCATGTACATACACAAATACGTCTTTAAATGAAGTGGAATCTTAAAATCGGAATATCGACGTATACATGGTATAAGGAAAGCACAGGAAGGGACACCAACCTTGTCCATACTATTGAAGACAATGGGAATTTAGTTTGTGTTGGTTTCATTGTATTCTTAGTTATTATATCAAAATATGAAATTTATGTTCGGTACCTTAATTTGATGACGTGTTGTAAAAATGTTGATATCAGAATGGTGAGTCCACTAATTGAAACAGGAGAACAATTTGACATCAGATAGGTGTTTTTATAACTGAATAATACATTTGGTTTGTATGATATTTGATAATAATGGTCATTGTACATATGCTACACGTACCCTCAAATTGCGGAATTTATTCTTTGAAAAATAAATGCCACTACTTCTAGCTCAAATGTGAGGAATATTTTGCACACAGTACGCACAGCATGTTATTCAACCAACTGGAGTTTCTTTTTACTTGTCCCCCGTTACCAAAAATAAATAGAAAGTTAATCCTTCAACAATTATATACATATATGGGCCAGCCGCTGAGCCCTTAAAGGATAGCCAATGAAAAACAGAGAAAATGGGGAAATTCTATGACAAAATGGGGAAATTCTCTGACAAAATGAGGAAATTCTGTGACAAAATGAGGAAATTTTCTGACAAAATGAGGAAATTCTGTGACAAAATGAGGAAATTCTCTGACAAAATGATGACATTCTCTGACAAAATGAGGAAATTTTGTGACAAAATTAGGAAATTCTCTGACAAAATGAGGAAATTCTCTGACAAAATGAGGAAATTTTGTGACAAAATGAGGAAATTCTCTGACAAAATTAGGAAATTCTGTGACGAAATGAGGAAATTCTGTGACAAAATCAGGAAATTCTGTGACAAAATGAGGAAATTCTCTGACAAAATGGTGAAATTCTCTGACAAAATAAGGAAATTCTGTGACAAAATGAGAAAATTCTCTGACAAAATGAGGAAATTTTCTGACAAAATGAGGAAATTCTGTGACAAAATGAGGAAATTCTCTGACAAAATGATGACATTCTCTGACAAAATGAGGAAATTTTGTGACAAAATTAGGAAATTCTCTGACAAAATGAGGAAATTCTCTGACAAAATGAGGAAATTTTGTGACAAAATGAGGAAATTCTCTGACAAAATTAGGAAATTCTGTGACGAAATGAGGAAATTCTGTGACAAAATCAGGAAATTCTGTGACAAAATGAGGAAATTCTCTGACAAAATGGTGAAATTCTCTGACAAAATAAGGAAATTCTGTGACAAAATGAGAAAATTCTCTGACAAAATGAGGAAATTTTGTGACAAAATGAGGAAATTCTCTGACAAAATGAGGAAATTTTGTGACAAAATGAGGAAATTCTCTGACAAAATGAGGAAATTTTGTGACAAAATGAGGAAATTCTCTGACAAAATGAGGAAATTTTGTGACAAAATGAGGAAATTCTCTGACAAAATGAGGAAATTCTGTGACAAAATGAGGAAATTCTCTAACAAAATGGGGAAATTCTGTGACAAAATGAGGAAATTCTCTGACAAAATGGGGAAATTCTCTGACAAAATGAGGAAATTCTGTGACAAAATTCTGTGACAAAATGGGGAAATTCTCTGACAAAATGAGGAAATTTTCTGATAAAATGAGGAAATTCTCTGACAAAATGGGGAAATTCTGTGACAAATTTAGGAAATTCTCTGACAAAATGAGGAAATTCTCTGACAAAATGAGGAAATTCTCTGACAAACTGAGGAAATTCTGTGACAAAATGGGGAAATTCTGTGACACCGATTGTGTTGACACTTCTCAACATTTTCCCACTCTTTGCCATGATTCCACTTCGTGACAAAATTTTATAACAGTGGTAATTATTTCATTAATACTAACATGTTAACCGTTGAACCTGCTTTCTTGGATTATTTTTTAAGAATTACTTGGTAAAACAACTGTTTCAGACTCTAATATGCACCATTGTGTATAATTTTAAAATCACTTGTCAGAAAATTCTGGGTATAGCTGTGAAATATTTGATTTCTGTCTTGGTGTCCCTTTAAATGTAGAATACATATAACAATGCATCAGACAACTCGTTAAGTTCCAGCCATCATCCGCCTGAGATACAAGTATACAGAAAAACACACTTTAAACTGAACTTTTAAGTATGTTACACTATAGGACTGAACAAGATTTGTTATCATTTTATCACATGTTCTGTTTAATATCTGTCAAGTTTTTTTACGACTACACCTGGCCCCTGGGATCATGAAACGGACTCATATCTAAGACTGAAATTTGGACTCAAGATTTTAGTTTTATCATGATACCCAATCTAAGTCTATTTTAAGACTTGAGTCAGAAAACTTTAAAGTTAAGTGCAAACATATGTTTGTTTCATGGTCCTAGGGCCTGACATTAATCAAGAGAGTACTGGCGAACTGCTGCTCACAGGTAAGATTGTTTTTTTTTTTTATTATTTGTTTGGGACTTTGCCGCAAGAGTTAGCAGCCAGTATCATTTTTAGACCACCTTCATTATACATACGGTGGACTTTTCAAATCACCCTAGGTCTGTGTTATATCCGTCCATTCCTTCATCTGCCTGCCTGTTCTGAAACAATTCTCGTTATTACTATTCACAGAACAAAGTAAATAATCATTCCAAAATTTCTTCCTAAAGTTTCTCTTGGATCTTAGTTGCGAGTGTTCAATTTTGAGACTAACCAGAAAATTAGAATGACTGACAGGCAGCCATATTGGATAAGAAAGTTGTTACTGACGTTTTCCAAGAAGTCATGTTGGAATCATTCCCTTCTCTTCTTAAGAATCGATCCCACAATCAAATATGCACAATCAGGAACCGAATAGCATATGCGATAGCAAGGATTGTTTAAACAAATATTTTGAGAAGTTAGAGAGTTCTCCTTGGTCCTCAGTTGTATATGATTGATTTGATTGATATTCAAGTCACCCTTCACTCTATTTATGAAATTTGAAAAAGATCAACCAAGTGCTTCTCAAAATATTAATCTACACAATCATAGCTATCGCTGTTTCTGGAAATCACTGGATAGACATTTCTCAAACTATATGTGTATGTAGATTCTAATTGTTGGTATTTTGACTGTGAGGTCAATTTGAAAGAAGAGGAGGAGGTAAAGATTCCATCTTATAAAGACATAATCAAGGTCATGCAATCAAGGTCATGCAATGGTGGTTGCCAAGATCACCTAGGATCGTTTATCTGCAGTAGGATTGCTTTGAAGTAGTCAGTGGCTACCGTAACAGCCATTGAAACACCGAAAAGAGGTACATCCATGCTGTCACAAGCGATTCCTGGTTAACCATCTTTCTCAAGAACACAACGGGACGATCCCTGATCTCAGCATTACAAGAAAGACATCCTGACCCGAGAAGGGAATGAAGACTGCGAGACATACCTCGGATCTTTACCTGATGATACAAATCTGATGTTCTATATGCTGAGCACATGGAAATCAAACGAATCAGAAAGATTTTATAAATGACTAGCGATATTCTAACACCAGAGGTATTTACAATAAGGGATAAAATGATCACCTGTACAAAGGTTCTTAGTGTGCTTGTTACTAAATATGGGCTTATTGTCACAGAAGTGGGATGATTTTTTTAGGCACTTTTTGTAATGCTAAAATCAAACACCCTGAAGATCAGAGTATAATGAACTATCAGTGTCATGAACTCCACATATCTCATTACATATCATTTCTAATGTACAGTAACATTTACAACAAGGATTTAAAACACATCATATTTTAGCATTATTTGCTTTATATCCGAGGATGATACAGGCCCTCTGGTCCTATTGTACTGTCGATGAAATTTACAATTCAACCAATATATGATGTTTTTGTTGTGTAATTTTATTCAAAGATAATTTAATTATCACAAAATAGGTACAAAATATAGTTGTATTATGATTTCAACAAATGCATCCACAACAGGTTACTTGATAGCTGGTATATGCATGTAATGATGTAAGCAGATGCAGCATAAATTTGATAAGGATCAAAGATCTTCATTGAAAACAACCTCTTTAACTACAGCACAACAATCAAGAGGCATAAGGGGCCTGCAATGCTCTCCTGGCTAATTCAGTCATTCATTCATTTAACAAAGAATTTCAAATATGACAAATAATTTCCGAAATACTTTCCAGTTGGGTTACAGCCTTGTGATCAAACAGAAATCATATTCACTATTCATAAAATTCCTTGTAAGGAAGGAGGATGTTCAAGAATGTACATTTCCCCAATTTGGTTCCATCCTTCAAGCACCTCTAGGGATGGAGATCCATTTCTAAATCCAATTTTAGCAAATTAATCCTAATCATAGTATAATTGTTTTTATGACACTGCTGAGAAATCTAAAGAACTAAAGAATTCATTTTATCACAGAGTATCAGCACAGAAGAGAGCCTCTAAGATGTATTGGGTATTCTGACTGCAAGAAAATCATATCTTTGGGATATTAGAACAGAATAAGTTTGTGTATTTTGTATCTGAAAAGGAGAAACTCACATATTGGGAGTATCTGAACTCAGAAGACACACAATTACCAGATAGTTATAGATTCTGTAAGGAATTACAGGAAACTGTGTAATATTGGAGGTAGGAGGTGTTGCATCCAAAATGAAGAAACTCACATCTTTGGGGGTATCTGACAAGTAAAATAACCCTAATGTATCATACATTTAGGAAGGAGGAGAGAGTTTTGCATATTTAGGTATTGGGTTCTTCAAAATCCAAAATGGCTGCCTGTTGGCCATTTTGTTTCACATTTAATGCGATAACAAGTAGAGGGTATTGCATATTAGTTATTAGATTCTTCTGCAGTCAAAATCCAAAATGGCTGTCTGTTGGCCATTTTGTTTCACAATCAATGTGATAACAATCTTTAGATATTAAAATCCAAAATGGCTGCCTGTTGGCCATTTTGTTTCACAATCAATGTGATAACACTCTTTAGATATCAAAATCCAAAATGGCTGCCTGTTGGCCATTTTGTTTCACATTTAATGCGATAACAAGTAGAGGGTATTGCATATTAGTTATTAGATTCTTCTGCAGTCAAAATCCAAAATGGCTGCCTGTTGGCCATTTTGTTTCACAATCAATGTGATAACAATCTTTAGATATTAAAATCCAAAATGGCTGCCTGTTGGCCATTTTGTTTCACAATCAATGTGATAACACTCTTTAGATATCAAAACCCAAAATGGCTGCCTGTTGGCCATTTTGTTTCACAATCAATGTGATAACACTCTTTAGATATCAAAATCCAAAATGGCTAAGTGTCAGTTGTTTCTCACCGATTAGAATCAAAATTGAGCAGACAAATCTATAGGGATCTTTCACTCACTTTTACATTTACACATTCACTTATCACCCAGTTACAACCAGTCTATTTGAAAATGTTCATTCATTTGTCCAAAAGCCAATAATTATTGAAATGAAGAGACAATGAATTAAGTTATTCAAAGTTTTTCATTTTTCAGTTGACTGGAAATTATTGACACTCTCTTTTGTGTGTGTATACACATTTTCCTTTTATTTTATTTCACGATTTTCAAATTTCAATTCTTAAAAATATTTTTCAAAAATACATCAATCATATCAATGTTCATTCAAGGATTTCTAATGTCTACAAAGAATTTGTGTATCTTAGTATCATGATACAAAGCAAAAGTGAAGTAGGCAACAGAAAGCACACTATCAACTACGTTATTATTGCCGTCATCTTGATCATTCCTAATTGACGCCCTCTGCCTGGAAGTTGTTTAATTTGGTGGTGATATGGTTTTCCTGGCGAGAGCTAGATCACCAGAATTACATTTCACTTGTGTTTATGAACTGGTGTCAATGTCTACATGCATAACAGATATTTTCAGAGATTTTTTATCGTTGTAGAAAAGTTCATTGGGGATTTAATTTTGTTATAAAATCCTTTGAGAATATTGCTTACTATACAGGATTATGGGGCTAAGAAAATAATTTTTAACAGACAAAACAAGCCATGGCCACTTCTAATACAATCAGAAGCCATTAACCCATATATACCACAGTTAAACAGAAAACTCATTAAATACTATTTTCCTACTTCAGGAAACCCTCATTCCTACTCTGAAGTGACCCAAGACCAAGCCCCCATCCCTGAACGTGTTGCAGATTAAATCTCCATTCTGGTTTTCAGTAATATGTACTGCTGCTGTCCAGGTATGGAGACCTGGTACTCTCACTTGGAATACTATTTCGTTTGGCTTCTGCCATCTGGGCTCTTTCAGTGAGTCCCATTTGTGTTAATGAATTCACAAGTTTTGTGTAGGCATGTCTAGTGTTAATGATCTCACACAAGTTTTCAAACTCTGGTATGAGATCCTGGAATATCCAAAGCTGATTCAGACGATTGTATACGATAAACAACTGATTGAAAACCCTTAAAGCATTACTGTCCGTGTAATCATCTTCATCTTCATCGGTAAATGGCTGTCTGTTGTTGGGGAAATACTGACGCTGACCTTGAGTGTTACCAAGTGCAAATCGTTGTCGTTTCTCACGATAACGGTCCAAATTGTACAAGAGAAATGGCAGACATTTTTGGGTGTGGTATGTGTTATAAAGATGAGCGGCCATATCCGAGCAGAAACGACAAAGTTTATGTGCCATTACCGCAGGAATGAGTGTGCCAACTAGTGTTTGGGCTACATCCTTACCCACCAGTTCCTCTAGTGCCACTGGCTGCATGTTCATGCTGAGATCAGCACAGAGGGTGGTGTGAAGCTGTTGATCAACGTTGAGATAGAACCACCATTGATTCTCCACGGGACAGCCATCGGTAGCTTGTGTGAGGAAAGCCGTAAAAGGGAGAGCATCCTCACAAGTACTTATAGCCAAACGTTCCTCGTATGCCTCCTGTAGTAGCTCCAAAGCCTGCTTGTAAGAATATGTATGGATGTTGTATTTGGCGATGTCAATAGAGATAGGGACAAGGGCTTCTAATACAGATCTCCGTGCACTGTGATGTTCATGGAAAACATTGATATCATTCGTGACCAACGTAAGGATTCTTTCTGCATTATAGATACGGTTTTTCTGACCAATCTTTAATAGATTGCTCAATGGATCATTTCTCAAGGTCATTATCTTCTGCAGGATTTGTTTGTGCTGGTCCTCATCAAAATGATCTATAAGATTGTTTGTTGACAGGAAGTAGTCAGGCACATTTCTTTCTTGAATGCAAGTAAACAGAGCATCAAGCAAATAGAACACACAAGAACCTGGACGTGTCATCCAAATGTCACACGGCAACTGTTCACAAGCATAAAAGAATATGCTTTTGAGGTGGACTGATGTAATGAGGTCATCTTCAGTGAATTCCTGACTGCACAATGCCTTGAACACAAGGAAAATGTATCGCTGATCCTGGCTCAGTGCCTCTTGTGCAAGCAATTTCTCGGCAACACCAAAACAGGCATGGAATTCAATGTCTGGATTTTTACTCTTAGGATGTGGAAAACACTCAAAATGATATCCGCCAGAAACAATGTTATCTATGATTTTTTGGGGCGGCCAATTGGCTTTTCTATGGCGTGTCTTCCATTCTTCAGCAACAGCTGGCCAAAATGGTGCCACAATGGCCATGGAAATTTTGTTGAAAAAAGACACAAGGGAAGGGTTTTGGCTAGCACTGTAGTCTTTCTCCTCTTTACTCATGTTGAATGCTTTCTTGAAGTTTGAATGATGACTAGGGAGGTAACAGGTAACAGCTCCCGCACCTGAGGAGGACATCCCCCACTGACTGGGGTAACGGGTCAATAGTCGAGCATATCCCGGGTGGACATCTTTAGTCTCTATCAATGCATCCATCTCCCCGACATCACTGTGATCGCTGGGGTATGCAATACAGGTGTTTGGCATCACCAGCCCTGTTACATCTACCCATTCAGATCCTTTGTCATACTCAGTTCTCTCCCTTTCATTGAGATAAGGAGCATATAACCCTTCTGCTGCGTCCCCAATCAAAACCATAGATGACGATACATCAATCCCATAGTGTTTCCTAATGGTATTCAACTGGCCTTCTTCCATCATCATCTCGGCGTTTGCCACCATAGAGTCGGCACTCTGGAGAGTGGTTGCATTTGGAACAAACTTCTTCATTACGTAGGATAAATGGACAACTGGTATCTCACTCCAGGGGTCAAAGTAATTCTCCTCAAACATCTCCCGTTTAGAAGGATCTGGAATGATAAAGGATAAATTTATGATGATGGGATTAACTTATTCGGATTAATTTTGGAAAACTTGTTCCTCATGTATCTTTTCCCTTTCTTTTAAAATTGGAGACGGGGTCAATGGGTACAGTTTGTACAGTGGATATTCCATTATGTGGTGGAAAAAAAATAAAACAACATCGCTACTGTGGGGGGGACATAATCCCATGAGTGTGCTCTGTGGCACTGACGTCTGAGGTTCAATTCCCAGAAGGTTTGGGGTCACCTGCCGAACCATGTGGGTTTCCCAGGGTACTCCAGTTCCCTCGTACAGGAAGACCCCTTGCATGCTTACATCCAGGCCAACAAGAGTGCTTGATATTATTTTTAAAACTTGTTTCATAATTGTTGCGACCTAAATAAAGTTTATTTACTTATTATCAAATATCAGAATTATTTCACTGTCCAGGAGCATTGTACATTATCTTCTCAAGCTTGACACTCCTATACAAGGAACCATTCTCATCTCAAAACTAAGGCTGAAGTTTCAGATTTGTTTTTGCAAAATCAATATGCAGTTTGTTGTCTAGAAAAGTCCACATAACATACTGAAAATTGACATTGTAAACACCTTACCATCAAAGTTTGGTAGATTTGGTGAAGTCTGAAAGACATCCAACGATCTGAAGTTTTCATCATCGCTCTCAATATCATCGTCTGCAACAGAAAGACACATGTATGTCTATGAGTGATCTCCCTTTATCAAAATACACAAAATATTGTATAATGTATTTACCTCATATATGGCATGGTTTGTGAGATTTGTGATCCTCCAAAGAGATTTTGGCCTCCATAAAGATACGGCTGCATGAGGCAGTTATTTTAAGCAATATCTTGAATTAATTTCTATATACTTGAGTTATCTTTGAAAAAAATATTTCCTTGCTAATGACTGAAATCGATTTCATATCCACAGTTTATGCAAACCTGAGTCCCATTTACCCGAGGATGCTTCAGACCAAATTTGGATAAAATCCTGTCATTCATACTGAAAAAAAGGACTCGTGTGATGGATGTTTGGACATATCATCAATAAATGAGAGACAGCCTTCAACATCACACTTACCATTATGCAGTTGCTTGGCTAGATCTGATGGTCGGAGACTAACATAGTGGAACTCTCCTACATGACCCAGAAACAGGCAGTCAGACTTGTCCGTTTTGTCAGCAGGGGTCTGCTTATGTTCAATAACTGTCCAGTCTCGCTCTGTATCATGATGAATGACCTGTATATTTCTTTTCGTCACCTGAAAATTAATTTGATGACTATATTGAAGTCAGCACAATCAAAACCTGAAGACAGGAATCTGAACTTGAATGTTAAAACAAAACAGCTTTATCAAAAATCAGAAAACACAGGCCCTGGTATCTCGTGAACAATGTACACATTTACCCCACAATCACCAATCAATATATACTGAAAATCCATTGGTTGAATTTGAGACATATTGATTCATTGAACAATAATGAAAAGCAATTTCAACCAATCACGCTCCTTCTTTACTTTGTCAACTGATTTCCTAAAAGAGAGGTTTATATTTTACAATAGTATTCACTACTCTCATGTAAATTAGCTACCTGTTAGGTTAATCAGACAATCATAAAGTATAAAGTTTTAACCAATCAGATCTAGAGTTTAATGTTGTATCACCATAGTAACCAATAAGTATATTCTACATATGACTAAAGTAAGAGGCATGATTAGGTAAACCAATGAAATCAAATAGCTCAAGAATGAAAGGAATTTTGCTGAACACCTGTGTATAGTGACAGGTTACCACAGCAACCAAAATTCCACGGCAACTGATTTTCTGCAAGATGTCTCCATTGAATTAGCTATAATCTCAAAACACTACTAAAAATCTTCATATAATTAAGACATTTTTCTAAACAATTTCAACCAATCAAAATCACCCCTGTGTGTTATTTATGAAAATTGTCTTCAAGTTGGTAATATCAATATAACACAACCAGTAGAAGTATTCGTTTGTAGTCTTCTTAAGGTTATAATTTGTGTAACAAAGGTATAAATAGATTGTAGAAAAAAAGTTACCGACACACAAGATAACCACAATATACTGGTATTGTAGTAAATTAGGCTATAATGCTTTGTTTAACACTCAGTCATAGATGTGCAAGGGTCTGTACCTCATTTGTCCCTGTTTAGTACCAGCCCACTGTTAATGAGTAGAATCAGACTGTCACAAAGCTAAAATTGACCACAGAACATTAGTTTCATTTTAATCTGTTTACCATCTTGTCACAAAACTTTTGACCTTAATATACGTAGGATTATAGTACAGCTGAAAAAAGTTGGTTCTCACCATCTCATACACTATGTAGGCCAGTGCTAGTTTGATTCACACTAGTCATTTGTCTGATGAAGGTGACCGTGTAGTCATCAAAACGTCAAACTTTAATCTGTTACTGGTTGTGTTATAAGAACTTTCATTCTATTCCGGTATGTTGTTGTGGTAAGTGATCAGAAAATATTTTCGATACATTAAGACACAATTTCTTAATGACTTTCTAAATTTGAATGAAAATCAGTTGACATTTACAAAGTTACAGTCATTTCTCACAAAACCCATGTTAAGTGACTTGTTACCATAACATCCACACTGGTAACCATAACAACCAAACAGTTTCAGATGAGAATGATGCTTTACACATATCTAAACTTTAGTGACTAGGATTTGGGTAAACCTTAAAGTGTTATTAATTTTACAACTAGACCAATGTCGAGGAAGGGCCCCGCATAATACCTACCCCTTATGATTGAGTTTCTTAATATTAAGAAATGTATGGACAGGTGTCAAGTATTGAAAGCAACTTCATCAAAATCCAATGAAAATGGACAGATATATGGATCGACGGACAGGGAAACGGACGGACAGACAGACGGACAGGGTGAACATTGAACTCGAATGAGGGGCTTATGTACCAAGTATCACAAAGCAAGTTTTAAAGAAATCCCAAATCATTCCTTCAGAAGATATTCTCTGTAAAACATTCAGCCAATCAGATTGCAGCAGCCTCATTAAATATGCGCGGAATTTGGCGAACATCGAACTTGAGCAAGGGACTTATGTACCAAGTATCATAAGCAAGTTTCATCGAAATCTCATCATTCCTTCTCAAGATATCGTGCGGAAAGCGAAACGGACAGACAGACAGACAGACAGACGGACAGATGGACAAGGTGATTACTATAGGGCACCCGCATCGCAATGCGGGGCCCTAACTAAACACAAAATTGATAGGCTAGCCTATGGCTTGGGTGGTCATCAGAATATTATTCCTTCATAATCGTGAACACCTAATACACGGAGAAGGCCTAGTCGTGAATGGGTCACGGGAATTTTCGTCCTGCGAATTTTCGTACTACTATTATATGATATAGAATAGAATTATTAGAATTTATAGAATAGGTTATGTGTGTATGTTGTGTGTATAAAGTGTATCTGGTTTTTAGACCTTCCAGCAGACGATGTTGTTTACTTATTAATTTTGCGATCGTAAAATAACAATAAGATCACCAGTCTTGATTTGTAAACACAGTTTACAGTGTAGATATGTCATCTAAACTCATAATCACAACTGTACCAGGCTAGGTAATTAGCACCTCTGTGGCTTGAAAAAACAAAAGTGACACCTGTGAGGCAACATGCCTGTCGGCTAACAACTAACATGTACCAGTACTTGGGTAAAAACCAGTCAAATAATTGTATAAACTTCTAAAATATCAAATTTTTATTATCAACACAGCGGAGGGTGTTATAATTGGTTGTTGACACCCTATCTATATATATCCATAGTGCTATGAAAATTCCCCTCGGACGAAAATTCTTCGGTACGAAAATTCCCGATACCTCGTGAATGTATGCATAGTCTTGCACAAACGCGATTTCCCGACGTCAGAAATTGTTGATCATACTTAAAGATAGTCAAATTAGTCCAAAACCACACCCAATTTTATTTTGTTTCTTTGAAACGACGATTCACTGTTCGACTACTTTCACGACTACTGGTGAGACCCAGTGAAGTACGTGCCAATCTATGTTGCCCAAGCGATCGTCACTTTCCGAAGAGTTATTTTCCTCCTCACTGGATACATCATCTTGTAATTCCGGTTCAAATCGGTAGGGCTGGATTCGTCTTCAGAAATATCATCCACACCATAATCAGACTCCTCAAAACAAATGCTCAAATCGCTCTCAGTTGCGGTGTCATTGTCACTGTCAGTCATGTTGACTGCCATTTCTGTTGAACTTATGACGTCACGAGTAGAAGCGTCTCGATTCCGCGGAAATGACGATTATGCTGATTAGGTCTGAGCGGACAGGTGAAAATCAACAACTTTGAGCTTTACTAACTCGACACTGGGGCGACAGAATTTGACGGGGTTTTCGTTATTATTTTTTTTACGGCATTCTTAACATTACATCTAAATATAAAATTACACTCAGGGTACACTTTAAGGATCTGCCCAGCAATTTAAAATTTATCGGATGGTAATTGCTATAACATCAGAACAGTATTACCTAAAACACAAATGTTACCTGTGACACCAATGTTACCTGTGACAAAAATGTTACCTAAAACACAATTGTTACCTGTGACACCAATGTTACCTGTGACACAAATGTTACCTCTGACACAAATTTTACCTCTGACACAAATATTACTTTTGATACAAATGTACCTGTGACACAAATGTTACCTTTGACACATATGCTACCTATAACACAAATGCTACCTATAACACAAATGTTACCTGTATCACAAATGTTGCCTCTGACACAAATATTACTTTTGACACAAATGTAACCTTTGACACAATTGTTACCTGTGACACAAACATTACCTGTGACACAAATGTTACCTGTGACACAAATGTTACCTGTGATACAAATGTTACTTTAGACACAAATGTAACCTTTGACACAAATGTAACCTGCGACAAAAATGTTACCTCTGACACAAGTGTTACCTATAACACAATTGTTTCCTGTGACACAAACGGTACATGCGTTGTAAATGGTACCTGTGACACAAATGTTACCTGTGACACTAACATTACATGCGTTACAATTGTTACATATAACACAATTGTTACCTGTGATATCGCCTGGAGTACCATATGATCACCCCACTCTCCATCCTGACTCATCCTTGTGAGATATTCATCCCAAGTTTCCCCATCTAAAAATAGTGCATAGGGGGTACCATCCTCACTTTTAGGGTTTTCTCGTAGGTAGTTAAGGCACTCAAATCTTAGAGATCTTGGACTAAAGGAGAAATCTTTTTTTAGCTCTAGCTGATCCACAATGGCAGCAAACATGCAATTTCCATCAGGAATCACATTACGAATTTCGAATCCTTCATTTCCTGCCGTGAGGATCATTTCTCTCAGGAACTTCATAAAGCTTCCTTCGCAGTCCCTCCTACCACACCCTGTAGGTAAAAATAATCAGGTGATAATCAGTAGGGAAACATCAACATTGGTTGGGATATATTTGAACATCATTATAAATTGCTGTTAAAGTCGACAATATTTGTTTTTACATTGGCTAAAATTTTTGCACTTTTACCACAAGCTTGAATCAAAAAGTTATTTTTTTTAAAGAAAAATATTGAAACAAATTGCAGTATTCTCTCTCTCTTTTTTTTGTGATTTAATTAAATCCTAGAAAATAACAAAATAAAATACCCCTCAAAAATTTAACAGCAGTTTAATTTATTCACATACTAATTACTTTCTTGATAAAAGATAAATTGATCGGTATGTGGTCAAAATATCATCATATTAAAAAGATTTATAGAACAACTACCTGAGCAAGCATGAGCAAAATCTTTTCTATTCTGCTTTCCAGATCGCTTTTGTGAAACCCCAGAAGACTTAGTTCCTCTCCCTGTCTTACCACCAGCATCTGATAATTCTGCAGAATTAAATGCCCTGTCTTCATGCACAGGTATGACAGATTCATCAACTTAAAAAAGAAACAAAAAAAAAACTTAATTCTATTAACAATACCTCATTTTATGTTAATCTATCAATATATCTGATGATAAAATTTACCAAATATTCATTTTTCTTATTTGCGAAACATTATATCATCCTTTACTAATCCCAGTGTCAACACAATTTACCGCTATGGATGAGGTCAGGATATTACAGTACAATGAAAAATTTGAAGTATGTGTTGGTCTAGCAACAGAATATTAATGGGCTGGCTTATTATCAGCCATGGGCTTATTACAGGATAAATATTGATCAGGGGTATATAACTTTGATATTGTCACAATAGCGAATCATCTTATCACTCATGCAGTAGATATAATTTCCTACGTCTCTTCATCAGCCCGTCTTTGGTGCTAACCTAATAAAGTAAGCCTCCTTTAATGATATCACTGTACAAATACAATGTCATGGCTACATTTCAGAGCATTGTCTTCAGGTTATTAATGACAATAGAATAAAGTTCTTAGAACACAACCAGTAGAAGATTATAGTGTGACGTTTCTATGACTACACGGTCACCTTCATCTTATAACACAACCCGTAGAAGATTAGGGTGTGATGTTTCAATGACTACATGGTCACCTTCATCTTATAACACAACCAGTAGAAGATTAGGGTGTGATGTTTCTATGACTACACGGTAACCTTCATCTTATAACACAACCAGTAGAAGATTAGGGTGTGATGTTTCTATGACTACACGGTAACCTTCATCTTATAACACAACCAGTAGAAGATTAGGGTGTGATGTTTCAATGACTACATGGTCACCTTCATCTTATAACACAACCAGTAGAAGATTAGGGTGTGATGTTTCTATGACTACATGGTCACCTTCATCTTATAACACAACCAGTAGAAGATTAGAGTGTGATGTTTCTATGACTACACGGTAACCTTCATCTTATAACACAACCCGTAGAAGATTATAGTGTGACGTTTCTATGACTACACGGTCACCTTCATCTTATAACACAACCCGTAGAAGATTAGGGTGTGATGTTTCAATGACTATATGGTCACCTTCATCTTATAACACAACCCGTAGAAGATTAGGGTGTGATGTTTCAATGACTATATGGTCACCTTCATCTTATAACACAACCAGTAGAAGATTAGGGTGTGATCTTTCTATGACTACACGGTAACCTTCATCTTATAACACAACCAGTAGAAGATTATAGTGTGACGTTTCTATGACTACACGGTCACCTTCATCTTATAACACAACCCGTAGAAGATTAGGGTGTGATGTTTCAATGACTATATGGTCACCTTCATCTTATAACACAACCCGGTTAGGGTGTGATGTTTACTATATGGTCACCTTCATCTTATAACACAACCAGTAGAAGATTAGGGTGTGATGTTTCTATGACTACACGGTAACCTTCATCTTATAACACAACCAGTAGAAGATTATAGTGTGACGTTTCTATGACTACACGGTCACCTTCATCTTATAACACAACCCGTAGAAGATTAGGGTGTGATGTTTCAATGACTATATGGTCACCTTCATCTTATAACACAACCCGTAGAAGATTAGGGTGTGATGTTTCAATGACTATATGGTCACCTTCATCTTATAACACAACCAGTAGAAGATTAGGGTGTGATGTTTCTATGACTACACGGTAACCTTCATCTTATTACACAACCAGTAGAAGATTATAGTGTGACGTTTCTATGACTACACGGTCACCTTCATATTATAACACAACCCGTAGAAGATTAGGGTGTGATGTTTCTATGACTACACGGTCACCTTCATATTATAACACAACCAGTAGAAGATTAGAGTGTGACGTTTCAATGACTACACGGTCACCTTCATCTTATAACACAACCCGTAGAAGATTATAGTGTGATGTTTCAATGATTACACGGTCACCTTCATCTTATAACACAACCCGTAGAAGATTATAGTGTGATGTTTCAATGATTACACGGTCACCTTCATCTTATAACTCAACCAGTAGAAGATTATAGTGTGACGTTTCTATGACTACACGGTCACCTTCATATTATAACACAACCCGTAGAAGATTAGGGTGTGATGTTTCTTACACGGTCACCTTCATATTATAACACAACAAGTATAAGATTAGAGTGTGACGTTTCAATGACTACACGGTCACCTTCATCTTATAACACAACCCGTAGAAGATTATAGTGTGATGTTTCAATGATTACACGGTCACCTTCATCTTATAACACAACCCGTAGAAGATTATAGTGTGATGTTTCAATGATTACACGGTCACCTTCATCATATAACACAACCAGTAGAAGATTATAGTGTGACGTTTCAATGAATACACGGTCACCTTCATCTTATAACACAACCAGTAGAAGATTAGGGTGTGATGTTTCAATGACTACATGGTCACATTCATCTTATAACACAACCAGTAGAAGATTAGGGTGTGATGTTTCAATGACTACATGGTCACCTTCATCTTATAACACAACCAGTAGAAGATTAGGGTGTGATGTTTAAATGACTACACGGTCACCTTCATCTTATAACACAACCAGTAGAAGATTATAGTGTGACGTTTCAATGAATACACGGTCACCTTCATCTTATAACACAACCAGTAGAAGATTAGGGTGTGATGTTTAAATGACTACATGGTCACCTTCATCTTATAACACAACCAGTAGAAGATTAGGGTGTGATGTTTAAATGACTACATGGTCACCTTCATCTTATAACACAACCAGTAGAAGATTAGGGTGTGATGTTTAAATGACTACATGGTCACCTTCATCTTATAACACAACCAGTAGAAGATTAGGGTGTGATGTTTCTATGACTACATGGTCACCTTCATCTTATAACACAACCAGTAGAAGATTAGGGTGTGATGTTTCTATGACTACATGGTCACCTTCATCCTATAACACAACCAGTAGAAAATTAGAGTATGACGTTTCCATGACTACAGGGTCACCTACATCTTATAACACAACCCGTAGAAGATTAGGGTGTGATGTTTCTATGACTACATGGTGACCTACATCTTATAACACAACCAGTAGAAGATTAGGGTGTGATGTTTCTATGACTACATGGTGACCTACATCTTATAACACAACCAGTAGAAGATTAGGGTGTGATGTTTCAATGACTACATGGTGACCTACATCTTATAACACAACCAGTAGAAGATTAGGGTGTGATGTTTCAATGACTACATGGTGACCTACATCTTATAACACAACCAGTAGAAGATTAGGGTGTGATGTTTCTATGACTACATGGTCACCTTCATCTTATAACACAACCAGTAGAAGATTAGGGTGTGATGTTTCTATGACTACATGGTGACCTACATCAGACAAAGGACCAGCATGAAGGAGAGAGAGTTTAAGAGAATTTCCCTGATTTGAATTTACCCCTCCTGTGGTTTGGGGACAGAAGGATTTTAAAGAATTCATTCTATTTCCCCTATTTAGCCTTTCTCCACATGCCCCTGGGGGCCTGAAACCAACCATTCATACAAGTCCCATTCATTCAAGGATACTTCTGATAAAAGGCTGTACAGAATCCAAACATCCCTGCTGCAAGACCTTAAGGCCATAATAGTGGACTTAAAGCCTATAAGATAATCAACAGATTCACTTAAGAATGCTTCAGACCAAATTTAGACAAAACCAATCATTCCTACTGAAGAAGGACTTCCTTACCACCCCGCCCCAGTGTATCTAGTGTTTTATCTTACCATTAAAATTCTGGGATCCAGAATTCTGGAAAGTGTTTGTTCTTCCTGTCTGACCATTAAAGTTACTTCCATAGCGTCTAACAGGGTTAGATTCAGGATGAGAAATGCCAGGATTCTTTTCCCGCGAAGGGTTAGTAAAATGTTCATATGATCCTAATCCGGAAAAATCTCCACTGGAAAAGTCATTTGGTATTCCTGCTGAAAAGTTGTCTAGAATTGCCATGTTAGAATCGTCAGGTTCCCGATTTGAGAGTGAATGTGGTATGCTTTCCTTCACATCATGAGGCTTGGTATCGCTTGAACGCACTGTTGAATCACCACTTGAATTTTCCTCAGAACCAAAAGCTGTATCTCCTTCCCCAACAATCAGAATGTCACGATAGCGGATCTGTTGAGTGAAACGAGTAGTGCCATGTCCCTCTTGCTGCTGAGTCACCTGTCCAGGTTCTGCTATTCTAACAACGGCCATTCGCATTCCTGACCTGTGTGCAGATTGAGTCTTCTGCAACTGTTTGAGACCCATTAACCCTCCTAACACTGAATCTAAAAGATGCTTCTGTTCATTGTATTCTGAAACATCAATGAAAGTAAAATTCATGCCTATCTTTCATTTTTAAAAAAAAACCAATTTGCATAGATGTGACAAAATACATGAGAAAATTACAAAACACAATTTTTTTTCTATCTGCCTTTCCAAGTTATCAGTGAAACTGAATGCTGAAACATTTAACCGAGGGCAATAACTCTGTAATTAAGGGGTTGTGGGCTCTGATTTGGGTACACTGCACATGGTCTTAGCATGACCAGTGTATACAGTACGTTTCATGTAGCTTACTTAACTGTTTGAAAAGTTATGCTCTGGACACTTAAGGACAGATGGAAAGAAAGATGGCCTAACAAAGTGACAAATGTATGCTCCAGTGAAATATTCATTTATTATACATGTGACATTGTTCATAGACATTTGACATATTTTTTATTAATCATGTAATATTGTTTAATAGACATGTGACATTGTTTAATAGTCATGTGACATTGTTTATTAGTCATGTGACATTGTTTATTTGTCATGTGACTTTGTTTATTAGTCATGTGACATTGTTTATTTGACATGTGACATTGTTTATTTGTCTTGTGACATTGTTTATTTGACATGTGACATTGTTTAATAGTCATGTGACATTGTTTATTTGTCATGTGACATTGTTTATTAGTTGTATGCCATATTGTTTATTATATTGTTTTTAGATGTATTACATTGTTTTAGTTGAATAACATACTGTTTATTTAGCTGTATAACATATTATCCATTATTTGTGTGACATGCTGTTTTTAGTCATATGACATAGTTTTTTATAGTCATATGACATAATGTTTTAGTATCCTGTATTGTTATTACTAACCTTTCAATCCTAGATTATCATACTCCACTTCCTCTAAATCATCATCAATGTCATTTTCATCCACGAAATTCATCAAGGTCTGATTAGAACTGCCCTCTGCTGATGATAAATTTGACAAGGCAGTTGATGACCTTGATGTTGCGATATTCGTTTGATTCTTTTTAAGATCTGTTTTTTCTGATTTGTCAGAGCTGCTGGTCATTTCCCTCTTCTTTAATATTTCAGTCTCCTCGTCAACATTATGTACACAAGAATCTTCTAAAAGTTTGTTTTCTTTCTGATATGTGACTGATCTACCCAATATCTCTTTCCTTTCTGAGACTCCGTTATCTAGTGTAGATACAGTTTCCTCAGGGTTGACATCTGTAGTTTTGTCAGTCAAGTTAAGATTAACATACTCCAGATTTCCTTGAGTGGATGTTTCAGTCAGTGTTGATATTTTTGCTTGCTTACCTATATTTGGTTGTTGCTGACTGTTTCTTGGCACTATTAGTTTTTCAGATCTATTTACTGTCGCTAGACTATCACCTTGATCTGCGGTACTGAGCTTGTCACCTTGATCTGCGGTACTGAGCTTGTCACCTTGATCTGCGGTACTGAGCTTGTCACCTTGATCTGCGGTACTGAGCTTGTCACCTTGATCTGCGGTACTGAGCTTGTCACCTTGATCTGCGGTACTGAGCTTGTCACCTTGATCTGTGGTACTGAGCTTGTCACCTTGATCTGTGGTACTGAGCTTGTCACCTTGTCCTTTACTGCTGAGCTTGTCACCTTGACCTGTGGTGATGAGTGTGTCACCTTGACCTGTGGTGCTGAGCTTGTCATCTTCACTTGAGGTCATTGTTTCTTTCTTGTTATCATGACCTCTATCTGCTATGGTCTGTATTTTCACAGAATGACTCATGTCCATTGTTGTGGCATGTGAATCCATGTGACCATTATTGTGTGATGTCCTTAATTTCTGCCCTTGACCACTGTCGAAAGTCTCTCCATTCTGACCTCTGATACCTTTTTCTTGACTTTCTGTTTCTAAAGAATCTACAGCTGTCTTATCCAACCTTTTTGAATCTAACAACTTTGCACCTGTCACCTTTGACATATTATTTGCATATACAGCATCAGTTAGGCCATCTGTACTTTTTGAGTCAACGACTTCCTGTATTAATACTGGTGAGTTAACTTCACTGTGATTTTCATATGAAATGATACCTTCATCGTCTATTGGAGTGGTATTTTCCTCAACACCTACAAACAAAAGTCAACATAGAAAGCTAAATTGTAATATCTAAACAATTAAATAGCATATTCACAATGTATAGCCTATTTAAATGACACTGGGTATGTTAGCAAATGCCTCATACTTTCTTTTAAAGATAATATACATACAGCAGATTGAAGTTCTCACAGGAGAGTGGTATCCCTTGGGTACCACAGGGAAGAGTTGTCTCGCCTTGAATCATATTTGCATACAAACTTATCACAAGGGAGATTTTCTCCTTTATATGTTATTATGCATTATTGTCAGTATATGCTCTGGAGGAGATGTATCCCTTGATCTTTTTCTACTCATAAACTGATAAAGGGAAGATTTGTCTCCCCTGACATGTTTTTAAAAATTACTGACACTCTATGCACAGACTGAGTTGTCTTCCCTTGAAATATAATGGCCAATAAACTTATCACAGGAAAGATTTTTCTCCCTTGATATATCATCATACATTACTGACACTCTATGGACTTAGAGAGCTCTATCCCTTGAGCTTTATTTACTGACAAACTTATCAAAGGGACAATTTGTCTCCCCTGATATGTTGTCATACATTACTGACATGCTACACACAAGGAAAAGTATGCTTCCTTTAAAGCTGTAACCAAAACCATAATGAGAAACAAATCTCATTCATACAGTTGTCTCCCCCTACTTTACAGCATGAAACTCACTTTTAAATACTGTATAATAATTTACAATGTGACAGTTGTCTCCCCTTTGGTTGGTAACCAAATACTTACTCATACTAAATAATAGTTTACACAGTGGACAGTTATCTCCCCTTGACTTTTTGGTATCGTTCCCCATAAAGAGCAGCTTTTCTTGCATCTCTGCACAGGAAACACACAACACCTAAAACAAGATAAATAACAACATGAGAAAATCAGACAACTTCTTTTCCTTTGTAAATGTACTTTATCATTTAACAACAATTATGAAACAGACTATACCGACATTATATCAGTCAATCCTGTTGGCCCAGATGGATGCCTGATGGAATAGATTTTAATGTCAAAGCAAATCAGACAAATTAGGAATCAAACCTCAGTATTCTAATTTTCTATATTAAATGTTATCTATCATCCTGTTCTCCTGTGTAACAAGGACTTCTCAAAATGTACCCTCAACCCATTTACACTGATAGAAAAGATGCCAGCAACAAACGTTCAGGATATCGTCAGTGAATATGAAACCGATTTAGCCAATTTCATCACTTTTAAACCCCCTATTAGTTTCAACCCCCACCCCCATGATTTTAAATCATCATTGGCTGACACTACCAAAAGTTTTAAATATGCTCATTAGTTTGTGAGGGGATGTTTCTCTGTATATCACTTTTCATGTATCAGATCACCTGACGTTATGAAGACTACAATTAGCAGAAAACTAAGTTTTAAATTCATAATGAATCACTGTGGTAGTGTCCCCAACTCACCTTATTTTGTTCATACCACCTGCTTAAATTGGGGAAAATAAATTTCTTTTCTTTTGATCCATATTTTATTTTAAACTTTCACAATCAATTGTTGGATCTGATACAGTCAAAAAATTGTTCAAACTAAAGTAATAGATCTATGTTAGAATTCATTATTCCTCATAAAGTATTATCCTTGATGACCCGTTTAAAACACCCTGACCTCGAAAGTAAAGGGTTACGACTAGAAACTTGATAATTTAAGGTTAACAACACTGCTATGGTACATAACGATATCCATATAATGGATATGTCCAACCACATGAGTTTTCCCTGGGTACTCTGGTTCCCTCCCAGTTAGATCCCTTCCACACTTCCATCTGGGTTAACAAGAGTATCAAAATAAAATAAGGTGGAAAAACTTGTTTCATAAATGTTGTGAAATAAAATAAAATTTGAATATCAATCTTCCTCTTTATAGTTCGGTTGGTTTTTCTGTATGAAGTGTGATTGTATTATAATTTATAGATGTCTGAGGATGGGATTGAAGTATGGTGAAGGGATGCACCTCCCTTAGAATTTTGGTTTTGAGAAAATCCCAGATCACCCAATAACTAATACTAATTTCTTGTTTTTAAAATCAGATTTTTAAAATTTTCTTTTCAAGTTTTTGTTCTCATAGATCTTGCAAATAGTATTTAGTGGTGAGTGTAATATGATGCTGATGATAAAGATCACTAATGGTTTTAAATTACTGAGAATCTTCCTGACTCGGCTTCATCAAATGTTTTACATATTTACCTTGTTACACACACTACAGGAGTGTTGATCCTGTTCCACAAGGTTTGCTGCACCACAAACTTTACATGTGTCCATGCTGGTCTTTGGAGTAAGGTACAGCTGTTTAGTAGTGAAGACAGTCTCCGGTAAATCAGTTGCTATTGACCTCTGTGACCCCATCAACCTCTGACCCTAGTAGGGCCAGGAAATAGAAATATTCAAACAACCATATTTCTGTAAAGAAAGAAATGCAAAAATAATATCTATTCATTATCAGGCTGTGGCTATGTCCTTATCTTTACAATAATCTTAACTTTCAACTTTTATTTTGATTCTATCACCTCCAGGATAACAATGCATTTATTAGTCAGCAAAGTTTCCATTTTGCTTTGTGATGATTTAATAGAATTAGCAAGATGTTTTGATGTTTAAAATTGACAAACAATCAACAATATTGCTGCCAAAGTCATAAGTGTTTAAAATGTTCTCATCAAAATAGCTGATTTCAGTTTCCATGATACAAAAATTGTTTGCTCATGTTGTACTAGAAGTTATACTTAGTGAAGAGATCAGCCTCATAACTGACTGAAGGTATGGAGTAACTGTCTGGCAGACATGTGTATATACTTTGTATATAAATTTTATCGGGACTTTCACATTTGCTATTGATAACAACTACATGTATACTGAGATGTTGTTATTTATTGCTAGATGTACAAGGGTATAATTGTAGTAATTCTCTTTCAGAGTATCATGGTGGGGACAAGTAATCAATTTCTGTTGGGGAAATCATCCGAAGTTGTGCATTTGTAAAAATAAAACAAAAAACATGTATTGTTTACTGTAAGACCCTGCCGTATTTTATTCCCGTTAGAATGGTAACATTACATATCTTAACTGCAACTGATTCATATCATTTGTAAAGGAAAACAACAGTAATGTTAACTTAAATATTCCAAAGTGAAACCGAAAGTAGGTAGTTGTTCAACATCCTCGTCTTATTTCAATAAATAGAAACACTATCAATGGGAAGAATTCAGTCTCAGTTAAACGGAAATATGCTATTTGAATTGTGACAACACATGGACAACCTTAACCCTTAGTCTGAGGTCCGACATATATATCCTGTACACATTTTCCTCAGTTTGCGGAATGTATTTATTTTTGTAATCAAACTTAAAGTAACTCGACCGGTCAAGTCAAATCATACTTACATTACATGTGAGTCATTTTGATGCTGATATGACAAAACACCAACATGACCCTCCATGATTGTCGTCCACTTGTTATACGGCCGTAGGCAAAAACTCAGAGAATACTATGACAAACATTTTTACCAGTCATGAAGAAATTTCCTTGTTGGAAAACCTAACTAGGGGACATAACTCTTACCTTCTGTTCACTTCGGGGACGTCTCAAAACCAAATTTATGTGTTGATCAATGTTTTGGTTTCGGAATGTATTTTATTTCAATAGATTAAATTGTGAATCATTACATATGTATGATAGATCAATATTTTTTTTTACCTCATTTTTTTCTGTGAATGACAAGTCAAAATTCAAGTAGGCATACAAGGAATAGATAAAACACTTGCACATTAAGACATTTTTATCTCAGTATTTTGCACTTCATGCAAGACGTACATTGTATCTCATCTATATTGAACATTTTTAACCATTACTATGGTGATCTGATCCTATTTTGTCGTTCTGTATACAGTTACTATGGTGATTTGATCCTATTCTGTCGTTCTGTATACAGTTGCTATGGTGATCTGATCCTATTCAGTTGTTCTGTATACAGTTGCTATGGTGATCTGATCCTATTCTGTCGTTCTGTATACAGTTGCTATGGTGATTTGATCCTATTCTGTCTTCTGTATACAGTTGCTATGGTGGTTTGATCCCATTCTGTCATTCTGTGTGTAACAGAGGTTATTAATTATTTCAGTGCCTCTGCTAGGAATCGACCCCGGTGTAGTATGGTAAAGTGAAGCCCATTGTGAAATGAACCCCCTCTCTCCCCCATAGTAAAGGGAAGCCACTTAATATTTTGTTTTCAATTGCTGTTTCTTCACTTAATTTTTATCAGTTTACTTAATTATGTTCCTCAATACATAAAAAAAAAAAAAAAAAACAGGGTGGAGAAATTTCAGGGTGGGATGGGGTAGGAGGGGTTCACTTCACCATGGCCATGACTACTTTCTTATTAAATTTTTTTCACCAATTGTTTGCAGCTCATCCTGATTCAATCATATAAACACATATATAACAAAAAATAGGTCTGTGGTGGGGAAATTTAGGGCCAATCATCTATCCCTCTTCAGCATAAATGGGACTTCACTTATTTTCATAAAGAACAGAAAATGTCAGAAAGGTACACGACACTTAAAAAATGACCTTCAGTTTAGGAAATGTGGCCCCCTCCCGCCCGAAATCCTGGGTAGTGGTAGTCAACAATTCATCTTCTTAGACAACATGACATGACTATCAGGAACTTCTACGGAAGTGTTGTGTCTGCCGGTGAAAAGCAGTCTGATACACAGCCACGACTTGCATTTTCTTAACCGTACAAGAAACAGGAAGACGATATACCTGCTGTATCGCACACAATGTCGGTCATAAGACGAGCTTAAGTGATCTGGCCCCACTTGTATAAAACATCTCAACTTGAGATTTCCTCAAGTCGAGATTTTCCTCAGCTGATATCTCCTCAAAAACGGCTTGTATAAAATTTTCTCAAGGAACAGGAGGAAGTCATCTGCTAGGATGTCCGGAAATTCCTTGCGGAATTTTCATACAAGATATTAGCTGAGGAAAATATGGGCTTGAGGAAATCTGAAATTGAGATATGTTATACAAGTGGGGCCTGATCTCTTCATTTTCATAACTGTATTTTTTACTGTCTTGCTCACTTGTTCTCTACTTTGTTTTCTGCTCTTTGGTGTTTCTCATATGACTCTCTCGTAATAAATAAATTATCCCAGATATTGTCACATCGAAAGATTGTTCATCAACGTCTAGGTAGAGTGAATTTTAACATTTAAACTGTACTTTACAAGTCTTTACAATGTACTTGTTTATTGATCCCTGAAGTGCAGTGAAGTTCTGCATATATGAGTGATGCACAAATCATTGTAATTGATTGAAAATTAAAAACAAAACAAAACAAAAAACAACATTGAATTTTCTCTATTTTTTATTAGTTGTCCCTCAAAATAAAAAATGTCCAATTTGCAGACCCATGACAAGAAATAGAAATAAAATATCCTCCAACAGAGTAACAAGTATACTTGAACTCATAACTCATGCTAACAGGTACCATAATCGATATTTTCAATTTTCACCAAAAACAACAATTTTCAGATTACTATAATATCTTGACCAAACACCTTCAATGCCTTTCTTTTCATATTTTCCCTCTCCTCTAGATCTCTTCTTCAATCCTCTTGCATGGCATTTCCAATCACTCAAATTTAGCTATTATGCAAATAGATTTCTTTATTAATGATTTAAAGTTGAGATATAAACACAACAGATCCATGCACAAATGTGTGATATATACAAATAGGCATCCTAAATATTCCAGGGATTACGATCACTTTCCCTTTCTGCACCCATGTAACATGTCATGACAAAATTGCAGGCACAAGTAAAGTAATTTTATTGGTTCCAGGCAAAAACATCTGACCAATCACAGACTGCTACACTCTTTATGAAGATTACAAAGGAGAGAATACCGTTGTGTGACCTCAAGATTCCTTTGATGTACATCAAAGAATCAAAACTAGTCTTTTCTCCTTGTCCATAACATGCTTACAGGGAACCTTACATTTTCCGATGAAATGTTTCAGGGGTGCAGAGAGCGGAACTGGAGCATCCAGGATAACAAATAGGAGGAGATCACCATAATGTTTACTATTACAGGACACTATCATCACATTGCATGAGTTTTGCTTTTTAATTCTGCAAATGTCAGGGGAGAACTTGTGACAAAATTTATCTTACACAGTATGATTATATGAGATCCAGAACCCCAGTTATCAGTACCTGCCTGACAGAGGAATGGTGAAAATAGTGGAAAACGATACAAAAGTTTCTGTACACTGCAAGAAATGATTTCAAATTTCAGTTAAAATAAAACATATTTTTCTCTTTATTTCCCTTGTTAAAATGAAAATAACAAATAGCGAAAATGATGTTTAAATATTTTATCATATTCAAACATTGAATATAAAAAATGTTTAAGAGCCGTTATATAACTTTAACCTGTTTGCCATTACAAGTAAATGATTGGAAAGTGCTTCTCGTATTCCTACCTGGTGTTTGTACATTTAAGTTATCTCCATTCTGCCAGGCAGAAAATTGCCTTATCATAGATAAATATATCTAACTCTATAAATAAGCATATTCTGTAAATTTTATTCACATCATATGTCTTCCCACCTTATATACATACAAAAATACACATTCAACATTAAAAGGAAAATACAGTTAAAAAAAGGGGTTTTTTTTCTGACGGAAAAGAAAGACAGAAATCATGAACCTTTTCTCAATGTTTTTTTTACACTTGTAAGAACTTGTCTTTCGCATTTTTCATTTCCCAAAATATCACACTATCACATTTGTAGAGGCACAACAATTCAATGTTTGATTAGAGACTGCCAGCAGACTTAGAAAATTAGCTTACATTGATATTGATATGAAAAGTTTAAAATCCTAACAACCCGTCTTTGAAAAATTATATAGTCCTGGGCATCTGGTTTGCTATTCTTTGAAACTGTGTATAGATATAATAGTTAGTATATGGTGTTAATATCAGTCGGTAATATAGAGATAAAGGTTAGTATTTATAAATGTGATCTTGTCTACTGAGAGGACAAAAGAACATAATAACAGATACAAAGTCTGTTTAATAAATGCCTATCTAACAGATCTAGATAACAAATCAACTAGAAACCCAGGACTGACTCTATAAAATCATACCAACTTCTCAATCAGATATCATAGCCCATAATCCAAGGTGAAGCAGTCTAAATTACAGGTAGAGTTCTTAGCCTACCAAGAAAAAAAATTAAAAAACAAACAAACAAATCCTTGAAATTCTTGAAAACAATTTTCTTTTTACATTAATGTAATTTCCTCTGTAACTATTACATCAGTTCATATCACATATCTGTTTCTTGTTCCTCACTTCAATCTAGTCATTTTTTGCCAAAGAATCACATATCACAATATATTTTTTTCCATAATTTTTTTTTTCTTCTGTCTCCTCCACAGCATTATACAACTTCATCCATTACCAGGTCAATCTCCTCCCCCTCCTCGGCGTGTGTGTAAAATGAAGCATGAAGCATGATAACAAAAAATGAGGCACCTGAAAAGAATGCACACCATTTTTATAACTTCAGATAATCAGAAATATTTTATGAATTTACACCCAAACCAGCTAAAAATAATAACAAAAAAAGAAGAGGTTAAAAATAAAGTGTGCATTCTGGGTGACATTTCATATATCAAATTTACAATGCTATTTCTCAGAAATATTTGAGTAAACCAACATCTTAAAAATATGCTAAAAGAATGTGGGACATGATTTAGTTTCACATGATGAACATTTACAGTTTGACACCTTGCCAGAGAAACCAGAGGAACACCGAATATTTTTGGTTGACAAATTTGATTTTTGACCAAAGACTTAAAAATGTAAAATCCTTTTAAATGTCAATTGAAAAATCATAGAAAAGATGTTCTTATATCATTCGCAAAAAAAAAGTGACATTTCAATTATTACTCGATCACCAACCTGCAGAAGATGATAATTTAGCATTTTGTGCTTGTGTTTCGCCTTTTTCATACATACCAATTATCCAGAAAACAGCGGACCCAGCACCAGCCAACCAGAAAATGGGGAAAGAACACAAACCCACTGCTGCGTATTGCTGTGAAACACTGAGCTCTTTACCTACAATATAGAAATTTGTGGTGAAAATCAATGAGTGACCTTATCATTGGACAACAAAATATTGTTTTTTATTTACCTACAGTTGATATACTTTTTTCAGCAAGGAAACTTACATCATTATGGTATGTTAATTATTTTTCTTCTCCAAAGAATTAATATGGATTGTCATCAGAAAAATGTGCCAAAAAATGGTTATCATTTTGAATACGAAAGTATATATTAAAATTGTATAACAGTATGGAAGGAGATCATAATTATTTTTACCCATAATTGAAAGCTTCTTCTCCTGGTTCTTAATGTTAATGATGTAGCATGCTCCTAGACATGCTGCAATGGCAACCAGTAATAAAGGGGAGGTAAGTCTGTAAAAGAAAATGACATGCCTATAGAGGTAAACCGCATGTGCACTTATAAATTAATATCTATATCAAAAGCATTTTGATCATGTACAGGCAAAATCAGACATCAATGCAGATCATTTTTAAGTTTTGTCCATACAAGGAAAAAAAAATAAAAAATCATATTTTCTTTGATTAGAAATTCACAATACAATCCCTGAGAGACCTCAGAGGTTTATTTCACCAGTTTGAGAAAAGGCAGTTTTGTCTCATTTTGTGAAGAAAATTTGTAAATTGGTAAGGAAATATTCATGAATAGAACGCAAATTTTGTGATTATGACTTAACTGTAAATAGCTTCAATGGGGGAATGGGGACCCATTAACAGCCCAAATATCCATCACAAGAAAGCCTGATCTTATCCCGACATTTCAATTTCAATGAATTGATGTATGTTGTTTTATTGTTTATTACACATATAATAAGTGATGTTACAACAAGTGTGAAAAAAAATTAAAACACTTATCCTATAAATTACCCTATACATTTAGAATTATATAATATGATGCATGTATAAGCACAACATACAGTTCTAGATTGTCAATCATCTTTTAAAACCCAAAATTCTTTATCGTGTTTAAAAAATGTGTTAAACATTTTAAAAGTGGTTGATTCATTTGATTTATGTAAAAGAAAAGAAAATTAATCTAGGTTGTTTAAATTGTGTTACTTTATATTTACATAGATGCAAATATTGGGTAAACATTGACCAACTGACCATGATAATTATTCATGTTTGAATTATCAGGGGTAGAGGGAACCCTGTGTGATAGAGGCTTATTCTACTGCTGATCTCCTTCAATCCTACTTTTTCATACAGAAAGCTTTGCTGAAGTGAAGGCAAAATGCAAAACTCTAAATACTTACACACAAAATAGGACCAGTCCAAGGAAGACAAAAAGATAATTGCTTTGAAAATGTTCAATATTTTTCATAACTCTTTTAGGAACTGGTGCTACAGACTTGGGGACCTTGAATTTGCTGGTATTGATGAACTCTCCCCATGGCTTGATGCCTTCACGAGTTCTCGCAAGCCACTCTCTTGCTGATGCATTTGACAATGTCAGTGACATGATTCTGAAATGGAAATCAAATTTCATATTTATTTATGCATTCAAGTTTGTCTGTTCATGATCGTAATTGTCACTTATTAAACAGTGAATTATATTTCTGAACAACAAACATTACTTGGAATTTGATCATGAAATTGGGCAAAGTAATAGTACAACAGTTTTATTTCTTAATTGTCTATACCTGGTAATCATAGCTAAAATTAAATATGAACAGGATGCCGAATGGGCTGGTATCGGTCAGATGGATATAAAAGCAATACAAAAGTTCCTCAGAACTGTATGTGTCGTCTGCATAAAGTGTCACAGTCACCCAGAAATCGAACTGGATGTGCAACATGCAACATTCAGCAATAAAGTTGTAATACCAAATTTTATTGCTAAATCTTGAAGCATAAACGGAAAACTGCACAAAGCAATATTCCTGAGAAATTTCCAAGTTCAAAGGGACATATCACTGCCAAGAAGGGTTACAGACTGTCAAGAAGCGAACTCGGTGCATAACTTTTGACAAAGAACTCATATACAAAATTACACTCGAAGCATAACCAAGAAAATTCCAGAAAACAATATTCCCAAAGAATTGTACAAAAAACTATATTCTCGAAGAATTATTGAAGAGGCATAACTCTCCAAAGAAGGGTCACAGACAGCCAAGAATCAAAACTAATATGTACCCTTCCAACAAGAAGACATATACCAAATTTTATTTCTATAAATCAAAGCATAACCAAAGAAAGTCCAGTAAACAATATTCCCAGAGAATTTTCTAAGTTCAAAGGGGCATTACTCCACCAAGAAGGGTCACGTACAGCCAGAAATCGAACTTAATCTGTACCCTTCCAACAAAAAGCCATATACTAAATTTCATTTTTATAACTCAAAGCATAAATAAAAAAGTCGGGAAAACTTTTGTATGGACGCTGCTGCTGCCACCACCGCGTGACGACAAAGAAAGTGATCCCTAATTGTCCATCAGCTCTGCAGGCTACACAAAAAATGGTCCAATAATTTGTTTTCATGGTATCATGGTCTGTACATCAAATTTTTTTTGTATAATGCTTGTATTCCAGTATAAGATTATAACTAAGACTGATTGCTTTCGAAACTTGTTTTTCAGAAGAGTTTTTTGATTGTTTAACAAATCTGACCCCTGTGAACTTTTGATGAGATTTTTGATTTGAGGAAACTCTGTAGCATTCAATCTCATTATCAGGCAACTGTATCAGTACCTTGTATCTTCTGATACTTTAGAAGATTCTCAAAGGTTTTTAACAGATTTAACCCCTTTGACCTTGATAAAAAGTCAAGGCCATAGATATGATAAAGGTTTAGATCAGTCCATCCCAGGAACAGTTCAGCTACCCTGGCCACCTCCATATACCTCTCTATAAAAAGATGTTTATTAAAAAAAAGTTGACAGATGGACAACAGATACTTCTCCTGAGCTGATAAAATCTACAAGTACAGTAGACTGCAGCCAACGATTACAAAGAAAACTTTTAAATTGTTGCTTTACACTAAATGAGCCATGAACAAAATGAAGGATAGAACCCTGGGGACTCTAATTTCTTATTTCTAATAGTTTTGATATATGATAAGTTCTTTAATATAATGCATTTTCAATGTGAAGTACTCAATCCATCTGTCCATATCTATAGCATGCATGTTTAACTACGAAGCGCCCATTAGGTGAAATCTTACCTATTCTTCACTGCAGACATATTATCAGCAAATCTAGATACAAGAAACACCAAATATGGACAAATATTTTTTATCTGTTGTTAACCATTATCTCAATGAATAAGTATTGTTATCCAAACATCAGATTGAAATTGTATCGTATAAGATCAATCATAGCTGTCAAGGACATATTATACATTTGTATGTCCCTGAAGCGATCGTCTAACTTTTTTCACTAAATACTATTTTTTTATCTGAATTGTATTGACTGTGGTGTGTGTAAAAGTTGTCATTGAATTTGATGTTGATTTCCTTATTCTCAACAATGTTCTGAAAAGCCTCCCTATTTTAAGGGAAATCTCACAAGTATGCTATAATTGTAGTTGATAACAATTTCATTGACGCTGTCTTAAAGTCTCTGTATCCAGGCTTGATATTAACATACAACATAGAATGTACATATCAAATGTCACACATTATGTTCTTGATCAGCCAATGCATATAATTCAAATGTCCTAATAAAACAATTATTGCATTTACGACGTGAAATGGCAGACTATTCCAAAGCTAAAGTTAACCCATGAAAAAAATCATCTTTAAAAATCTAACAGTATTTTAATGAATCACAGCTGTTCCCTACTGAATAAGTAAACAAAATATATATATCTGACATCTGATATTGCTTGACAGATAAGTCATTAACTTAATGATTAAGTGTGCTGTCCCAGGTATTTATTCAAATTTTAACTTAAATTTTTAAACTAGCATCTTACCCTCTTCTCTTGTGCGGTTGCTGAGACTCCGGAACGTTGATATCCCCTTCAAGACTGCTAAGGTCTATCTTTTCCATAACAGTTTCAACTGCAATTCATCTCATCATGTGTACGTGGTGAGAGTGACGAGTTTCTACCCATATATCGATGACGTACATCACACTTCCGGTACGAAGATCTTTGTATTTATTTTCTGACTCATGTTACACTTCTGCTTTTTCAACTGATCAGTGCCAGATTAGAATATTTTCTGCAACAGAAGTTGTACTGAGGTGAGTGTATCATCAAATCTATTGTAAAACGTAAATTACAATTAATTGAACTAACGGAAAAATCACTTTGCATGTTTCATTATGGAGTGCGGATTTACAGATATCAGCTGATTACAGCTTTTACTATACAACGTTAACATTATATGATTATAACGGAAATCATTATGCTAAAGGTGCTATGCAAACATGCGTTTTGCATCCTAGTGCAACCGCGACAAAGACAAAAGATAAAATCGAAGACAGATACAAAAGTAATAATCGGAATAATATGTAATAATATGTATGATATGTATCCTTGGCGCGTTAGTTTCGGACCCCTTAATAACAATTTTACGCTAGCTACATTATGTCAACGATTTATTCAAATATGTTCATATTATAAGATTTATTTAAAAACTAAAAAATATATATATTCACAAATCTGACCTCTAGTTCGTTCAGCTGAAATGATCGACAAGTGTATCGGACATGTGACTGCACTTCCATTTCTGACATCTCAGAGACGCTTAAGATAGCTTACAATGACTCAGAAGTGCTCATGTATTACATAAAATCATTATGTGAACGGAAATGACATTCTGATGCCGAAAAAAATAAAGATAAAATAATGGTGCGAAAATGGTGAATATCTGTGTTGATGTGTGCACCTTTTCTGGTTAGAGATTCAAGTTTTCTTTCTATTTTCTTGGTTAACTTCTTTTTTAAAACAGAAATTGTTTAAATAGATTTAATTTTTCATTGGTCGGTCTACAATTGGTTAGTTACTTGAAATCAGAAACAAGTCATCAAAAGTGATAATTTAAAAATCACCTCTTTTTTAATATAAGATGTGCATGTTTGAACTATCGTAGCCAAAAAAATGCAAGAAAGTGTGACCTATTTTTCACAATCAATTTTTATTCACTTGGCAAATGATAACAAAACACTGGCATTGGAAGATGGATTGATTGGTTATTTCATCATATCTGGGAGTATGTTTGACATGTGAAAAAACACACAGATTTGCCAATGAAATATTAACACAGCATATTTTATGGTGAATAGTTTCAATCACTATTTTCTTATTCTTTCTGGAAGCATGACATGTTACACAATCAAAATTATCCTGGTGCGAGGTCACGTAGGTCAATAGTGCATCCGATACGTCTCAATAAAATGGCTGTTATGAAATACATAATGGTCCAAATGTATTATACCGATGGCTCCGTTTTAGCTGGAATTATTACTTGTACTATAATATCGAAGTAATCAAAACGTAAATAAAAATTTGAAATCTGAATAATAATGAAAATGGAATACATAAGCACAAAAGAAAAGAGAAAAAAAAATAAAAAAGAAAGAAATAGGCCTAAATGAGGCAAAAGCACAAATGAAAGAAAGATGGTGAACCATACCACTGTGCAAAAGGTTTGTTTATTGTACATCAATATTGGGCAAGGATATGTCAGTTGAAAATTGTTGATAAATAGGTCACTTTCACTTAAGCAGTTGAAATGATTATATTAGACCAGTTGAACCTGCAAGAAAATCACCAGGTTCAGATCAGGACCAAGGCTAGACTGCAGAATATTTAGAATGTGCAGATTGAGAGGTCCAGCCATACCTGTCCAAAACTAACTTTAATACAGGCACATATTTGGATGGTATTTGGTTTTTAGTTCATTGTTTTATGCTTAACAGGAATTTCAGAAACTGTGCATTTTGAGCTTTATATACATATATCAGTTCTAATATCCAGTACACGTGGGTTTGTGTACCATACAGTAATTTCAGATTATGTCATCTTAACTGATTCAACTTGAAAGCAACTATAATCAGACCCTTCAGACCAACATATATTCACAATCTAGATAATTTGATTTGTTAAATAATGTAGCTCAGTAAATATTGGATATTTTGTGTATTTTTTTCAGATTGATTTGTAGAGTTCCAGTCTACCAATACACATGTTTGATTCAAAGGATGGCTTCTGCAGAAGAACAAGCTGAAGACTTCTCTTTGATAGATGCTATCCACTCTAAATACAATGATGATGATAATGCCCATCACTTCAAAGTCTACATTTCCTCCAACGCCCCAGGCAAGAAAGGTACATGTTTCAGTATATCTGATTAGAATGAAAAAAGCCTTTCAGTAAATCAGTTTGGAGCTCAATGGCTCCTGAATAACAGATTTAAAATATATTCCTTCCAGTTATTTACTTTCTTTTTGTTTTTGGCCAGTTTAATACTATAGATATTATGTTGAAACAGATAGCGGAAGTCTTGTGGTTCCACCTATTCTTGTTTTGGACAACAATAAAGTGACATGTTCAGGACCAAGTGACATAATCGCATCACTGTGTGGCCATGTTACAGAACTTGATCTGACAAACAACTTAATCACTTGCTGGAAAGAGGTACAGTACACGGTGATTAGCTGAAAAAGAAATGCAGTTTTCAACTGGAAAGGGAATAAAATGCAGTGAAAGTTTTACCTTTAGGAAGCAAAGCTCAAAGTTGTTTGGTGGTGGTGATAAATCCTTTTGATTATGTATTCAGTATTGGATACTAGTATTGATTTTTTCTTCTCCCCTCAAATAATTGTCAGATATTATTTCTTTATTAACTTCAGATGTACATGTACTTAGTAAAGTATGACATGATAAGTATTTGGTACTATTGATTCTGGAATTATATGTGTTATGAACTTCTCAAGTCACTACCAAAAATATTTGCTGTATGAAATTGTAAATTGTCCTTCATTTCAACCAAACACATACAAGAATTGATAACACTAGATTGTGTGGTTTTCAAGAAGAAGACATCAAAGACTAAGAAGATATGCATGATTGTTGATTTGCTTTAATTTCTTACAGATTTTGTCTATGATTTCATATATGCCACGACTACACACAGTAAATCTAACTTCCAATGCCCTGACTACGCGCTCTCTAGCAGGACTGGATGTACCGGAACAGACATTCAAAAACATTACTCTTCTCATTTTGAACAACACACAGACCACATGGTCATCTCTCAGTACATTACTGAAGATATTTCCCAGGTAATGTTCACCTCAACAGTCCCAAAAGAAAACCACAATTTTAACTTGATTTGAACGTGTACTTATTTGATGCAATCAAATTTTAATCAATATCAATTTAGAAAAAAGTTAGTAGTTTGATGGATTTGTGCATTTGAAATAATATCTATATCAACAACATACAGAAACATCGAGAAGCAATGTTATGTTTTAGCACAAAATCTTTAGTACAAAGAGTGCTAAAATAAGACCACCACTAAAAGATGTGTATTTACAGTATATTGTACTCAGGACTACTACAATTGGTATACAGTGTTGTTTTGTTTCCATCTGTTATAAAATGAGATACATTTTGTTCCATATATCCAGTCATCTACCATGCCTGGTAATAAGCCCACCAATATTGATTTAAATTTTGAGAGAAAATGTCAACAAATTGCAAGTTATCCTGAAATAAGCTCACTGCCCTACTACGAATCTGGCACTGGTGTGTGATAGCCCTTAGGGCCGAATATTCTTGTTTGAGATTTGTTAACCTGTGTTAATCCTTTTCAGTTTGACTGAACTCCATCTAAGCCTGAATAACTACACCTCTATAGATGTGGACAACCTTGAGTCTTATCCAAGTCTTCAAAAACTATTTATCAACAAACATGTCATTTCACGATGGTCAGAAATTTCCAAATTGGGCCATTTATTTCCTCACCTGGAGGCTCTCATCACAATTGAGTCAGACCTAGCGGACATGATTTTGGATTGTCCCGAGGCATCAATAGTGTTTCCATGTCTTAAATGTCTACATATCAGTTCCACTAAATTACAGAACTGGGAACATATAGAAGAACTCCGAAAAATTCCAAAATTGTGTGAAATACGAATGAAAAATATTCCCTTTTTGGAGGTAAGTTACAATAGGGTGATTCGGGGGCTGTTATATATGTCAGTAGATGATAAGATACATAAATGCTGTAAGTATGAATACAGCACAAGTAGTTCAACTGGTATTGTTTATTAAATTCTCAGGACATGGAGACTGTAATACTGATTATTCAAAATACTTTTAAAATTTTACCTGACAACAGTATGGGACTACTTACAAGTAAGTTGCACAGCACAGTTTGTCATATTTCATATAAATATTACACAGGAGATGATCTAATTGCAGTGTTTAATAATCAGAATTTTTTTTAAACAAGTTAACCACTTAGATCAGTATTTCACACAGGCACTTGGCACAAATTCCTAACCTAGAGTCCATATATATTTATTATGTTACTATATGATACATATATATGGACTGTGGGTCGGAACTTTGTGCCAAGTCCCTGTGGTATTACATGTACTTAAACATTCCCTGCACGAAGGGAGATAACTCTTCATTATCATCACCTATGGATTCTTTGTGTAGTGTATGTGAAACTATTTCCAGGAATATAACGAAAAAGTAAGGCGCCAGATGATCATTGCTCGCTTGCCAAATATCACTCACCTTAACGGCAGTCCAATAAACGAAGTGGAACGTGAAGATGCTGAAAGGGCCTTTATAAGGTTCTTCATGGACAAAGAGAACCAACCCAGGAGGTACAAGTCTAGATCTCTATATACTAGGTCCCATATCATTTCTTTCCTAATGAATCCTTTATATTTATACTAGGAAATTATTTATCATCATGGTCATGGCCATTCCTTATTACAAAGAGGGTGAGGGTACAGGTCGTCTTACTAGCCACGTGGGAATTTTCCTTTAGTCAAGTGGTAGAGTGGCCAGCTGGAGACTGAAGCTTGCTAGTTTGAATCCCATCAGTAGGAGGGTGTTATTTGGTACTCTAAAGGTATGAGATATATCAGGCTGAGATGCTTCCTTGGAGATGTTGAACCTGTGTTGTTGATGTCTTCTGGGTCAAAGACTTTGTCTTGGAGGGAGTAGTGTAGAAGTTGAGAGTACAGGTCACCTTACTATCTTTGACTAGGGAGAATTTCCCTTAAGTCAATTGGTAGAGTGTCCAGCTAGAGACTTAGGGGTTGTTAGTTCGATTCCCTATCGTTGCAGGGTGATTTTCATCAATCTGTAGTTATATGGTGATAGTGTAATGAGGTTTGATATGATCACTTCATGTTTGATGAGTGATAAGTATATGATATCACCGTATACTCCAGAAATATTAGCAGTATAACGTTTTGATGTAAAATGACATTATACCAATGCAAAAAAATAACATGGACAAATTTTACTTATTTCTCATTACAGATATCATGAACTTGGAGAAACCTATGGTACGCTGGATCCACTTGCTGATGTTGATTTCTCTGTAAAGAAAACCCGCAGGGTCACCATCAAAAGTGACGAAGACGAAAAGTCACAAGAAATGGAGATAAACATTACACAAACAGTGCGAGAATTAAAAAAGTTCCTTCAAAATTTTGCTGGCCTTCCGTCCCACAAATTCCGTCTGTTTTTCCATGCAATAGTTGATGGGGTACCACTAAATTCCTCTGAGCTGATATTCCCAGACAAAGTTTTACATTCTCTGAACATAAATGATGGCGATTGCTTTATCATAATTCCAAAATGTTTTTGAATGTTGATGATTTTATCAAATAATGCAATTTTCCATTTTTCACTTGGGGCAAATAATGATACGAAATGGTGAAGTTGATGAAATCTGTGTCTGATATATTTCACTGAGAGAAATGATATCCTTGAACACATGAAGAAGTGATATTCTGGAGAATAATTCATTGAATTTCAAGAAATACTATAGAGATAAACCTCAATACAGCACCCACCTCTGATTACATGCTATAAATGTGAATTTTTAATTTCATGCAATCAACGTTTAGTGCATTATCACTTTTTGCCAAATTCATGCAATGATTTAATTTATGCATCAGTAGTTACAATTGCTATATACATGAATAAACATTATACAGAAGAGACAATTACTGTGATACTTTCAGGTAAAAAATTCAAAAATTACATGACCGCTAATATATGTAACTTTTCAATGAAATATATTGTCTGTTTTTGATTAACTGGAATTGAAATACATGTATTGTTTCCAGTTTATTCAAATTTGAAATTAAAACAAAACAAAACTATATAAATATACAGATTTTAACGCTATCGATGTGCAGGGATGAATTTATGGCTGTGTAAAATTTGTTTGTTTGATGTCACATGAAGGTGCTAAACAGATCACACCAACTTAAATAATATGTTGGTAAGAATGTGTTCAATTTTAGAGTGAATTTGGTCAGGTGTGTTTTGAAATCGGAATGTGAAAAAGGTAGGTTTGTGATTGTTTTTGTATTAATGAATGACTTTCATATTGATTTCTATTATTTCAGTGTTTTGAAGTAAAAAAAACCTGTTAAGTACCTGTTATACTTTTTAGTAATGTAAATCATTATATTTTTACATATGTCTGAAATTGTCAGTTTTGCAGGATGATAAGGATTAGCAGCTTTTTACTACAGATCATACTATAACATCAGTAACACATCTCACCCACCTGAGGACTAAAGTTTTGTTCAGGAGTACCATCTATTGAATTTAATTGATAAATTTCTTAAAAGTAACAGACAGGAAATTGACCCATCAATGGAAAACCATGGATAGAAATGATGTGGTTTTGAAGACCGGGGGTCCAATAGTAGATGTTTTTACTGGAATAGCCCTGTTTTGATGAACAATACATGTGGATGTGGAAGTGTTCAACTGGTCATCGCAATACAGAATCTCTTTTTGTGTGGTAGAAACAGGTCACAAAAACTTGATAAATTGGTGTGTGGTATCTCTTTCTTGTTAGTTATCTTTAAAAAGCTACAAACACACTCACTATGCCCTTGTTTTTGTAACTTTAAATATCTCTACATAGTCTACACAGGGACCTGTCCTAGTCTGTATAAATGTTATGAGAATCTTTAGAGGGAGTGATCAACATTTGTTATAGTCAACACAGGGACATATCCTAGTCTGTATAAATATTATGAGTGTCTTTAGAGGCAGTGATCAACATTTGTTATAGTCAACACAGGGACCTGTGCTGGTCTATATAAATATTATGAGTGTCTTTAGAGGGAGTGAACAACATTTGTTATAGTCAACACAGGGACCTGTGCTGGTCTGTATATATATTATGAGTGTCTTTAGAGGCAGTGATCAACATTTGTTATAGTCAACACAGGGACCTGTGCTGGTCTTTATAAATATTATGAGTGTCTTTAGAGGGAGTGAACAACATTTGTTATAGTCAACAGTGGGACCTGTGCTGGTCTGTATAAATATTATGAGTGTCTTTAGAGGGAGTGAACAACATTTGTTATAGTCAACACAGGGACCTGTGGTCTATATAAATATTATGAGTGTCTTTAAACAACATTTGTTATAGTCAACAGTGGGACCTGTGCTGGTCTTTATAAATATTATGAGTGTCTTTAGAGGGAGTGAACAACATTTGTTATAGTCAACAGTGGGACCTGTGCTGGTCTATATAAATATTATGAGTGTCTTTAGAGGGAGTGAACAACATTTGTTATAGTCAACAGTGGGACCTGTGCTGGTCTATATAAATATTATGAGTGTCTTTAGAGGGAGTGAACAACATTTGTTATAGTCAACACAGGGACCTGTGCTGGTCTATATAAATATTATGAGTGTCTTCAGAGGCAGTGATCAACATTTGTTATAGTCAACACAGGGACATATCCTAGTCTGTATAAATATTATGAGAATCTTTAGAGGGAGTGATCAGCATTTGTTATGTTCTACACAGGGACCTGTGCTGGTCTATATAAATATTATGAGTGTCTTTAGAGGGAGAGATCAACATTTGTTAAAAGTTTTAACTATAAACAACTGTATACAGTAACCATTCATTAACACATACACAAATGTCTTGCTTTGTCAAGGACAAATTTAAAACACAAACTTTACAATTGACAGATATTTATGTTGATTTGCAGGTATCATCAGTAACAATGGAATGAAATAACGGCCAATTAATTGTGACATCAGACAAACTGACTTTCGGCGTCATAGGGTTACAGTATACATGTCCATACACTTTTATCTTCCTGTGTTTTATATCACAATTGATATAACCACCTCCCCATTGTTTAGTTGTTACAGGTACAATAATTGGCATCACTAAAATTATATCATTAGACTTTAAATACAGAGTCATGTGGTTTAGGTGTAATAACGGGTTATACAGGACATCCAGAAACATTCCATATTGATCAGAAATGGTTCATATCGCTATAGACTAACAAAGTTTCAGGTCACTGTGATTCAGAATATACCTTTCATATTTTTTATATGAACTCATGAAATGACGTTGCGGTATGATATTGTGAAATGACATATAATAGACATACTGATTATATAGTTATCTTTTCTATCCGCTGATAAGCCCGCCCATATTTAACAGTCTGTATGAAAGAATAAAAAATATGCTAAGTAAAATAAATCCTTTCTCAGGACTGATGGGCGATACATAGTAATTGTCTGATATACAACTGTTGTTGATCTCCTATTTATTTTTGGGACTCAAATGTTTGAATCCTAGACACACGCTTTTCCTGTGGGACCCACACAAATTTTGAGAACCTACTATAAATTAAAAAAAAATTATCAAAATTTTGAAAATGGCACTCTGGATTTACTGGAAGCAAAAATGAGCCTACAAAAATTCCAGATCAAAGAAAATGAAATGTGATGAGTAAATTTTTTTTTCCAGGACTGATATGGACTATACATTGTCTTTGCATGATATTTAACATTCATTGTTCATTCCACCATATAGAGTAGTTACATTGGTTTATGATGTTTTCTGACAGTCAAAGGAAACAGGTATATATGTATGCTTCAGTTTCAATACTTGTATTACACTAGCTATTGCTTCTAATATTACTTTAATACAAATATCAATATAATGCAAAAATTTCAATGCAAGAGAACCTTAATGTTAAAATAGCGCTACAATAACAAATTTTTTCATAACGTTATTCTGAAGTTAATTTTTCATTTTTCAAAATCATTATTCTGAAATCAGAATTTAATGTTAATTAACCCTTTCAGCGCCGTAGGCGAATAAAGTCGATAAGCAGACAGGCCGCCATAGGCGACTGAAATCGACAACTTTTGCCATTGTTTTCGGATATTTTTCTGAGCTGAGCTGTACATTGTGAGAGATATTTGGCGCTGAAAGGGTTAACAGTGAAAAAAGTTAACATTAAAATGACTTTATAATGATGGGTTTTTTTAAACACTGAAATAACGTCAGAAAATTGACTGTGTATATGTAAAAATAATTTTGCTTTGTTCTTAATTAAAATGTATGTGTATCATAACACTGTAAATGCAACTTCATCAATCAGATAAATCAACCTCATAAACCTTGAGTTGTTTGTGCTGCTCACTCCACACAAAAAAAATGTGATAGAATTCTAATTTTTTATTATTTGATTATTAAAATTACATTATAATTTCTTTTTGAATGCTGTTGGAAAGATGAACAGGAAAGATGTCCCTGATAGACTGATCTGGTTATTTTTAGCATGGTTGTGATGATTCTAGTGTGATATGTTAATTTTTAAAATGAATATTAAAATATGTGAAAAGATTTTAATTTATCAGTCGTTTATTCAATGTCTGTTATATTTCATATGAGAGACCTTCTGGGTAATGTGTTCCATGTAAAAGTTATTTAATGTCAAACAAGCTTTTGCCTGGTAAATATATTACTTTTACATTGTCAATAAAAGGAAGATTATTTAATTGTTACACAGGTGCAAAATCATAGTCCTGTAGTGCCCCAATATGTGTCAATCCTCATTATCTGGAATGATAGTCCACCATTCTCCAAATGCAGGCTTCATCAGCCAATTTATAGAGACAGTATAGAAAACTTAACATGAATTTACAAGATACATTGACCCATTTAATAGTAGGCCTACTTGAAATACACTCTTAAAAGTTGATCTGTCAAACCAATTTTAAATCCATTCAGTCAAATATGTAAGTAGCCAAAGGACATGAATGCTGTCTTATTCTTCAGAAAAGGGTTGAGAAAGGATTACTGGGCATGTAAAATCCTGTATATGATGCCCTCTTGAAAATGCTTAATTTGGAAAAAAATTGGTAATTTATCCTGGAACAATGTACCTCATATTGTTTTTAAAACTTTTAATTGAATATAGACCTGTGGTTTTATAAAGCGTTAATTCAGACAAGCTTTATTGCCCTCAAACTCTAAGTATTTATTGCAAAATTACATGATTTAATCCTGGGTTCTTGTTAGTGACAGATAGGATGTTGTGTCACCGTATATATACTCTAGTTTATCCAGTGATAAGCCCATGCTTGATGATAATTAAAGCCCATTCATGTAATTGAAATGCTACATTATTGCCAATCTGTTGTTATGTTTTAGCTCCTAGGCTTACAATAGGATAAAAACAACAAAGTCATTTGTCTTTAGGTTGCTAAGCTACACATATGTATTAACATTGATTCTGTTTGTAGTTTGGAGGATTTACTTATTTTTCTGTATATTTTTAACTATATATATCTAAACATGCATAGATATTCAAACAAATTTTGAAATATATTTATTCATCTTAAATAAACAGAAGTTTTGTTTGTAATTAGAAATGTCATTCCACAAACAAATCACTGATATTTATTCAGGCAGGTGTTGAGGTCACCAATTACATACATTACTGATAATGCACGTTTCCTAATTAGTGACAAGTTTGTTATAAATCCTATGGAGATCTTTTAAGTATCTGTCCACAGACAATGTCAAATGACAGTACATCATCTAATTTGTTAATTAATTAAAAGTTAATGAAAATAGCAACTATACATTAGTCATGTATGTCTCTCCATGTTTCCTAAAAATAGATTGATTTCAAAATGTTTTACAAAAAGTTACTTCCAAATACTGATGTGGTTTGTAATGAGAAATCTACATGTAGAACATTTCAATAATTTGGTCAAGGTTGTTTGATTTTTAGCTCACCTGGCCCAAAGGGCCAAGTGAGATAATGCCATAGCGCTGCGTCCGTCGTCCGTCTGTCTGACGTCCCTCAACTTTACATTTGAACAATTTCTTCTGAAATACCGAAAGGCGTAGAGTTATCATATTTGGCTGGAAGGTTCCTTTGATGAAGCCAAACAAAGTTTGCAAGAAATGACCTTGACCCATATTCAAGGTCACAGAGGTCAAATGTGTTATAACCTTTAAACGACTTCTTCCAAAATACCAGAAGGCCTAGAATCATTATATTTGGCTGGAAGGTTCCTTTGATGAAGCCAAACAAAGGTTGCAAAAATAAATTACCTTGACCCATATCCGAGGTCACAGAGGTCAAATGTGTTAAAACATTTAAACAACTTTCCAAAATACCAGAAGGCCTGGAATTATTATATTTGGCTGGATAGTTCCTTTGATGAAGCCCAACAAAGTTTGCGAAAAAAAAAAAAACCTTCACCCATATTCATGGTCACAGAGGTCAAATGTGTTAAAAACTTTAAGCGACTTCTTTCAAAATACAGGAAGGCCTAGAATCATTATATTAGGCTAATATGTTCCTCTTATGGTGTCCTACAAAGTTTGCTAAAAGAAATTACCTTGACCCATATTCAAGGTCACTGAGGTCAAATGTGTTAAAAAGTTTTAAACAATTTCTTCTGAAATATCGAAAAGCCTAGAACCATTATATTTGGCCAGTATGTTCCTTTTATGAAGTCCAAGAAAGTAAAAGAAATGACCTTGACCCATTGTCAAGGTCACAGGGGTCAAATGTGTTAAACGTGGAACATATGCCCAGATATAGTAATGTTGGTCATAAAGATCCAGGTGAGCGATACAAGCCCTCTGGGCCTCTTGTTAACTTAATGTTAAATGATTGGCAAGTACAACAAATTGTACATAGCCAAACAATGTAATACACATATTGCTTAATTGGGATCAATTAGCATCATGCTGTCACACATGTTATTCACAGAGAGTTAAAATTCAGAACTTGTGACAATCCAAATCTACTTTTCACCTTTGTTCGAATGACGTGTTTCATTTTTCTTTTCCGAATCAATAGTAACAGGGTAGATAGAGAAAAAAGTCTCGACACTCGAGATTCTTTACTTAAAACTTTATATCTTTAATCCATGATGATTTAATCAAAGATATCTTTACTGAAGCAATTCAATCTGAGTTGTTTTTTCTTGTTCTAGATGTTGAAGCTTGAAACAGTACTGCATGGTATGATGTATTGAAACTTTGATGACTGTAACAAGTCTTTTTCCGATACACAATAACAACCTTAAAGACATTTATTTGTTATTTGAAAAAAAAATTATATTTGATTCTTGATTTCATGCTTGTATATAAATCAGTATACATCTGTACATGTAACAGCATTTTATAGATCATTTCCAAAGCTAACAGAACCATCACATGAACATATTCATACAACATACAACATACATATACAAATATACAGTACATTTTACCCCTACATGTCAAATTCTCTCTTTAGTCTCTTTAGTGTTACAGATGAAAATCATAACGAAGAAATTAGGGTGTGATTCATTCAAGTGAAAAAACTTTCATTCATGTTTAAAACTTAAAAACAATTTTAATCAAATATATTTCCGAAGCAATGCCTCTACCAAATTGTTGAAGTTTTCTGAAATCTTGAAACAGAGGTCAGAGGTCATGTTTCATCAATTTTCTTTTCAGAGTATATTTTGTTTTTCGACCTGTCCCTCCTCAAAAATAGTAAGGAACACAATCCCTAAAAAACAATCTTACAGTATTCCAATAATTGATGACACAGTGACAATGTAGGATTTCTAAGCTGTACACGCATGTTAAGATGAGTAGAATTCATCTCTGACAGTCAAACAGTATTAATGTACTTCATTTAGATCGCTTTAAAACTTGATTACCTCCCCTTATTTTGGACAATTTTTTACTGTTGTATATTAAAATATTTCTTTACTTAGTTTAGTTGATAAAAAAAAAACAAAAATTTTTTTCTATCATATTTGATTTTAAAAATTGTTCATTCTCTGAAATTTATTAATACAATGAATAAAATTTTATTGAATGAAAATTATTTCTCTAAAATGATTGACTTACCTGTACACTAATATAAACCAGGTGCAATTTAAACTGGATACTGAGGAGTTTTCATCCTCATTAAATTCTTACCCTTTTTGTCCATGAACAGGGATGGTGAATTGAAGATGGGAATGGATTTTTTTAAGGTAAACCTTTTATATGAAATGAACATGAGGCAAATTTGTGTATAATGATACAAGGGTGAAAATAAATTGGGATGAAAATATACTGTATACATTATATGCTACCATATGTAAATGATATCTTTGTAAATTGGGCAAACTTGACGCTCTTGAAGACAACAACCTTCACAGTATGACACAGGGCAAATTATTAACAATCCTATAGTCCCATATCTCTACACCTGTACAATATCTACTCTATTATTGAAAATCAACAAAGGGCTTTAACTCTGCAAAATCTCAGGCAAAGTCATTATTATTACTTTTATCACTGTCATTTTCAAAACACCATGCAGTGATTTCTGAGGAACTTTTAAAGTCCAGGAAGATTTTAGCTTCTTGTACCAAGATGTTTCTAAACTATAGCAATAAAGGTATGATGTGAGAGTGTTGATAAAGATCTTTCATTCAGATGGTCGTATCTTGTATTGTATCACAGCTAGAATACACAACATCCATGAACTGTAACAGCTGCACACCAGGTAATCTTATGTACACTTATATAACTTACAACAAGTGTCAAGACTTCTTATGACACAAGTTCAAGATGTTGAAATTCTTCAAATTATTAATCTTCTAAGGCTTCTTGCAGATGAAAATTTCTGTATCTGATAAAAGTTTTCTAAGTTCATCTGTTGTTTCAAACACCACACAGCTGAAACAGTTCTTCCATTCTATCAGCGGCATTCTGTGCCCGGTCATCACAACCGAGATAGCCCCATATTCTTGAGAGATTCCTGTAGGCATACGGTGCAGAAATTGAGTCGCATACTTCCTGTAGATCACTGACATACTCCTGAAACAGTTCTGTCTGTCCGTTGTAGTGATAGCTATTGAATAACTGCACCAGAAAATTGTTCAGATACATCTTTAACTGATGTTGTCTTGTGAAGTCCAAACTGTTAAGTTGTGGACTCCTTTGATCACTATCGTCCATTTGTCCAACTTCTGATGAAGAATTACTGTGTTTGGTGATTTCAGCAATCTTGCGTTTCGTCAGACTTACAGAAGCACGAAGGTAATGAGAAGATAACTCATAGTACTGCATGTTGACAAGATGAGTTGCCAGGGAATGTAAAAAAGTCAGCTCTGGATCAGATTCATCTTCAGCTGCTGCTTTTGAAGCACAACTGTTCTCCATTAAAGAAAACGGGACTTGAATCTTATCCAATTCACCTTCTTCATCATTGCCAAGAATCTCTTTGATGGTTTTTCCAGGCAACCTTTCAGTCAGCGCAGTCACTGTAGAAGTACCATGTGTCATGTCCAAAACAAGACAAAGCCAAAACTGTTGGAAGAAATGTAGTTCGGACAAAATCTGGTGTATGAATTCAAAAATGTTCCCCACACACCACTCATCAGCAGACCCTGGTTTAGCTTCGCCCGCACTCTTCATGTCCTGGTATGCTTCCATTATTATGTCTGCAGCGGGCTGTAACATCATGTACTTGACATAATTGATCGCATTTTTCAGAGTTGTTGGTATGAACACTTCGGCAAAGGACTTTTGTAGGTCTCTGTGCTTGGTGAAAGCTGGGATGTCATTGATGATTGGATCCGACATCCAACTACTGCTCAATCCGTGGGCCTCAGCTAGCAAGATGATAGAAGTTACTGGAAACTGACGAACAGCTTCAAGGTGAGTGACCATTCTCTGAAGTACATCATCACTTAAATGATCTATCATGTTATTGCTGGGGATGAAGTAGTGCGGCAGTTTCTTTGTTCGTAAGCAGTGCAAAAGACGGTCCATCAGATAAAACATGGCAGCACCTGGATTCAGTCGCCACTGGCTTCGTGGGACGACCTCGCTTGCATAGAAAAAGATCATCTTCAGATAGTTTGTACTCAGAAATGGCGTTTGTCTCGTGTGAAAATCTACCAGGACTTTGAAGATGTGGAAGCAGTACCGCTGACATTTTGTCATGTTTCTTCTGGCCAGCAACTTCTCTGCCTTCGCAAAGCTGATTTGAAATTCCAACTGCGGACTGTCACTGTGAGGATGAGAGCCTGTTGTTACCAGGAATCCAGCATCAATAATGCTTTGGATAAATTCAGGTTTCGGCCATCCACTTGGTCGCTCTCGTTTTTTCCACTCAAATGCACAGTCAGGCCAAAATTTGGCTTCTAAGGCATATTCTACAGCAACATTTTCTTCTACAAAATCTGGTAGCTGGTAACTGCCAATATCTTTTCTGACATTTGATGTGTCCAGAAAAGCATTTGGCATGTATGTAATCATCACTTGACCTCTACTGTTAACATCGGAGGTTTTGATTGGTTGATGGAGGCGTAAATACCCAGGATGCAATCCAACAGTTTCCATGACAAAGTTTTTTAAGGAACTTTTTTCATCTGAACGGTGCTCCATAACATGATAATATGGGTTCAAAATTAAGAGATGCGGACTGATTTCATGTAAATTTGCAGTAGCAATCTTATTGCTCCGTAGGGAATATCCAATCTGAAGGGGCGATTTATCCTGTAACGAGACTGCAAATTTCTCCACAATGCTTCCCACTGCAATGGCGATGGTGCTTGACCTAGGATGGCTATTAATAGATGCCATTTTATCATCCCACATCTGGGCATCCTGAACATCCAAGTATTTGCTGTTCAGGACGCTCTTCAGGACGTAGGACAAATGACTAATAGGAGTGCCACTAAGCTCATCAACCGCCTTATCATCAGCAAAATAGTCACTTGGGCTACCTGCAGAATAAACATCAAAAATTTATATTACTAAAACAGGCATCATTAATATTCCTATCATTGATAGTCCTTTAGATTTCATATGAAATTAAGACTATCAAGATAAGCGGGTACTGTTTTGCAGGTAATTTAAATTTTAAATATTTGTACAGAAAAAAACAATCCATATTGATTAATCAATTACTTAATATCCTAATTGATGGTTGTTATCCATTCAAAAGACAGCAAGGAAGTAATGATCTTCCACCTTTCAACGACTTTAAAGACAAAAATATCAAATTGTTTTGTATTTTATCAAAACATTAATTGAAATATACCACTAAAACATATCTGACTTTACTAGCAACAAATGCCTCACTTAATTCTTGAGAAACAAAAATTGGATTAAATTTATCAGTTTCCATTAACTGAATAAAACCAATTATTTATTACTTCTGTAACGATTCCCAATACTAACATTAATACCTGGTAGTTGAAATTTTACTTACCATGTCTCATGACAGGGGCATCCATTCCAGACACTCGAATTGATTCATCAGAATGTTGATCAGCTTTGGTCTGGTGAAGTCTTTGCCGGGCTCCTGTTAATACCAAGGTTGATTTTGTGCATGATTCAGAATCTATTAGTTTAATTTTTTCTTTTTTTTTGTATTAAATATTAAGATGGAATCTTTCAAGTATACAACTTACATAGTTTATATAAAATGTCTTGAACATCAAAGCCACATAAAATATTGAAAATGTAAATGTTATTTGAATCTTTTCCGTTTAAAGATTGTAGAATACAGACACCAGACATGTTAAATTGAGTCATAATTAGTGTCTGCCATGGTTTTAACTATCAGTGAAAACACTCTCAACAGGTCACTACAATAATTCTACATTATGGAAGCATTATAGTTCAACCAAATGTAAGAAGACTTTAAAGATGAGGTTTGTATGTGAATCAATCCAACCACCTAATGCATCTTTTTGACAATTTTTGCCCTCTTTAAAAATTTAAGAATGCTTTGATAAGATATTATAAATTCTATTATACTCACTGACAAACCAGGTGTCTTCCCAGTTCTTGGGGCGCAGGCTTATATAGTGGTAGTCATCCATGTGCCCGAGGAACAAGTCCTGTGTTGGGTCAGATTTCACCCCAGTTGGTTGAATTGTGATCTGGTTGTGCTGATCTGACCCTATCGCACTGATGATGTTGATCTGTCGCTTAATTACCTCTGATATTCCTCTAAAGGAATGAAACACAACACATTCAGGATTAAATTTCAACCAAGAACATTGATTTTCACAAAAAAATAAAAACAAAAGATACGAAATTATCATTTCTTATAATTATGCTTCTAACAATGAATATACAAATAAACTTTGAGTGTGAAATATAATCAATGAGAAATACCCAGTATATTTCAAAAATTATCTCAGTTTCAAAGAGAGAACACATCTTCAGCTATCCAAGTATTTCATTCACTACATCCATTGTCATACAAAAAGAGCCATGCACTTCTTGCTCTGAGCAAAAGACAACAATATCAAGATTTTGAACAATACTCTGCAAAATGAAATTTTGTAAAAAAAAAATTTAAAAACCTCTTAAATGCATTATAAATTTTATTTGTTTTACAACAACTGCAAAACAAGCTTTAAGCTTATATTAGTTGCTCTTGTTGGCTAGGATGGAAGCGTGCGGGGGTCTTATGTGGGAGGAAACTGGAAAGCCATGTGGTCAGGCAGGTCACCACATACCTTTCCACATAAGCTCTGGGAAATGAACCCCAGACGGCTTGGTGAAAGGCAAGTGCATTGTCACTGCGCCACCCGACCACCCTTTACTGTATCTTCTTGTCTTCTCCTTATTCATGAATTCATATATACAAAATGCAGTGAATAGATCAAAATCAAATGTCCACAGATATTGTTATTCATCTAAATTTCAGAAAAATATATGAAGATATATAATATCGTCATAATCCAAGATGGCCACCAGACAGCCATTTTGATTTTCCTAAATGTACCATACACCACTGGGGACTCAGCGGAACTTAGATATGAAATCTGACAATGATACGGCTCTACTTGTACAGAAATAACAATAGTAAGCTAATAGTATCAAAATCCAAGATGGCCACCGGACAGCCATTTTAATTTTCCTAAATGTATCATACACCACTGGGGACAATGATTCAGCTCTACTTGTACAGAAATAACAATAGCAAGCTAATAATATCAAAATCCAAGATGGCCACCGGACAGCCATTTTGATTTTCCTAAATGTATCATACACCACTGGGGACAATGATTCAGCTCTACTTGTACAGAAATAACAATAGCAAGCTAATAATATCAAAATCCAAGATGGCCACCGGACAGCCATTTTGATTTTCCTAAATGTATCATACACCACTGGGGACAATGATTCAGCTCTACTTGTACAGAAATAACAATAGCAAGCTAATAATATCAAAATCCAAGATGGCCTCATTTCAGACATTTTGCTTTTTGTTCACTTCCAAAATGGACAAAGCACAACAAGGCACCATGGAGAACCTATTACATACAGGTATGAAATTTGAGAATGATCCATCAAGAACATCTTCAGAAATAGCCACAACAATGTATAACTTTCAAAATCTATGATCAGTCCAAAAAATAGTTATACCACACAACTATATGACAATGTGGAACCTATGCACAGTGTATAAAATTTGGGAATAATTTATTCAGTAATTTTATAGACAGATAAAAAAGGAACTGGTTAAGAATGGACAGCGGATGATGAACTACAGACAAAGTGTTTTTAAGAACTTATTAAAAAAAAGGATCTGTTAAAGGACGGACAGCAGATGATGAACTACAGACAAAGTGTTTTTAGAACTGATTAAAAAAAAGGGAAAAAATCACACCATCAACAAAAATTTCAGAAATTTTACACAGTAAATTTTTACCTCAGAGCCATTTCGTCTCCCCACTCTCCATCTTTTTCCATGCGAGATAGGTAGTCTTCCCATTTCTCAGTAGGAAGGAACATCTGCATATGTGTTCCATCCTCGCTGCAAGGATTATCCCTCAAGTACTGAATAACATTTTCTCTAAGTTTCCCAGCTGTCATCGTCAGATCCCCCCGCATACGGAGCTGATCGACAATTGCTCTGAACATACAGTTTCCATCCGGGAGGACATCTTGTATGTCAAAGCCAGCACTCTCAGCTAGCTTTTCCATGTTGTCAAACATCTTCGATGCACGACAGTTTTGACAGTTTCCACACCCTAATAAACAAATATGAAGAATTTCAGTAATATCAGTAATCATATTTCACGAACTACTGCATATTAAGAGTGAAAATACCAGTTGTGTCTGTGGCGAACATATCACAACTCACATCTTTACATCACAATTTTTTCTTGAAGTTCCCAGCATACCTTGATTAAATTCATTTCAAATATTTAAATTTTATTATTCAACAAGTTCTACGGCAGGTATCACAGTCTTTCAGCTTTTCAACAGATGATGCTTGTGTGTTTCGACAATTAAATTTGTTTGAACAAATTCAAACTCCCCCGCTTAAACTACAAGCATTTATTTTTCACAGATACAGTGGTGCTTGCACAGTGTTGAAAAAGCAAAGGTGATGGATTGTTTTATGTCCTAAAACTATCAGAGTCTGTAATAACAGATTTGTGATTTATCTAAACAATATACTGAAGCTTGCTTCTATATGACAAATACATGGCATTTACAGAAAGCTATTAAACAGCACATCAATATTGAAATTATAAAAGAGCTGGATGTCATATAAACTTATTTTTACAGTAATTATTTTTGCTCTTTTTCAAATATCATAAATATATAGTCAAACACTTCAATAACAATGCTAAATATAAAACATATCTCTATTAACACACTAACAAAGATAATATATGAAATTATTAAAATGATATATGACATAAAAAAATTGTTAAGTGATAGTGTTTGAGTTTTCATGGTAATTCCCAGAAGTTTTTGTCACAAGAGTGTATAATCATGAGTACATATGCACATGCATGTAAACAGATATGAGCCAAAGTTTCATCCTTCTAATCATGACCGAACATAAATAAACATGTACGTCCCTTTCCTGTTGTTTATTTCATGAGAAGAATTCAACCTAGTCCAAATTGATAAACAATTTTAATCAAACAAGACAGCGTATGAACAGGCATGGCAAGAAACTGCATTCCACAATGCAAATAATTAATTCTTTTTCCCAGATTTTCCCAGAAATTTCCAGAATCAGGGTTATCAAAGAGAGAGTGAAGGCACAATTAATAAGTCTAGGTCATAATTGCCAACAAAGGTAATGCAAGAAGACTTCAAAGGTGAGGTTTGTTTGTGAGTCAATCCCAGCAATGATCAGGCATAAAATGACATTTCAGTCATGCTCTATATTTATACTAAAATAAATCAAAAGTCAATTCTCTTTTTCAGACAGATTTTTCCCTGCAAATATTATTTTTAATTTACCGGTAACCTAGTTACTTGATTAGAAATTTCTTTTAAAGGTAAAATGAAATAGTGAAAGCAAAGAAAAATGATTTAAAACTTTATTTTTTAAGTCAAATGAAATTAAAATTTCAAACCAAACAAATACTTACCATTACATTGTGAATAAATAGTAGAAGTGGAAGAATAACTCCTACTATACTCCCCTGTTTAAAGTAATTCAATCCCTCATTAACATTGTTTTCTCTTTTTCTTGTTTTTTTATTTTCAAACATTTTTCTTGAAAATTTAGAATTGAGAATCATGCAGTAATCAACAGGTATGGTTTCTTCTTATTTTTGTCTTTATTATTTCCAAAATATATTCTTTGGCAATTTAAAATTGAGAATCATGCAGGGTTAAAAAGAAAAAGCAATTAATTCTAAAATTACGTAAAATTTATCAAAAACAAATCCGCAATCTCATAATGCAGATTAATTTATCAAAAACGAATCTTTAATCTCATAATGCAGATTAATTTATCAAAAACAAATCTTTAATCTCATAATGCAGATTAATTTATCAAAAACGAATCTTTAATCTCATAATGCAGATTAATTTATCAAAAACGAATCCACAATCTCATAATGCAGATTAATTTATCAAAAACGAATCTTTAATCTCATAATGCAGATTAATTTATCAAGCTGCATGGGGATGTGCTTGTTTACATATACAGCAAATATTTTTTCAAATTTTGCAATAACTAGAGCTACTTAAAAACAGCTGATTGGCTTTGATTACAAGTAGCATGATAATAATAAGATATAATCTTCCTGTGGATTAAACACCGACATGTGCAACTATTAAAAAACCAATCCTGATAATTTCTTTTCAATTTTCCTTTTTTTTCCTAATTTATTTTTTCAAAAATGAATGCAAATAAACTCTTTCTGATTAAACTTTTTCAGAAAAGTTCAAAGTTGTTTCATCTATTTGTGATGTCTATTTTTTGTTATTACCATCACTTAGTTTACAGATGGAATATTGTTTAAATGTATAAGTCTTTGTATATATTACAAGGAAACATTTCACTACAAAAAATTTCATGCTGTATAACTCTTTTGTGTTTTGGTGAGGGCGAAGTTAGCGAACTGTTCGCACAGAATACTGAACTCCTTGTGTATCAACAACAATTTTGAATAACTAAATAGGATCTCTCAAAATCAATTATGAAATATGTGTTTACCTGCGTCTACATTCAGATTTACCAAAACAAGTCTTAGAACTTTACATTTTACACAGCCTGTGGTGATACCAGGTAAAATGAAAAATTCAGGCCAAATTTCATAAATCTCATTCATGAAGGAGAAACAAATGTAAGATTCTGTTTATCCCATAACTAAGATAATTTAGCAAAATTTGAGAACAGCATTTCATTCATCTGGTACTATACCTAACTTTAAAATATTCTCTGTATTTATCTATTTCTTTACTGACATAACAAGGATGTAAAATACTAAGATATTATGACAACACCATATGTACATTAAGAAACTTTAGTCAATGTGACAGATCAATCATATCACACATGTATCAAGGAAGTAAGGCAATGAATTTTATTAAGAAACAAGATATATTACGGAAGCACCACTGAACTCCATTTCAACCTCTAATCATACCAAGTATTGGGAACAATACTAGATCATAGAAATTCTACACACACACACCCGTTGACTCTCTAAGATCTAGTTTAAAATGGAAAATGCAATATTATCCAATACATTAGATTTATATACATTTTTAAGATAAAATGTAAATGTTCCACCCTCTGTCTTTCCAAATTTATATGTGTTCAACACTTTTATACATGTTTGCTGGTCGATTGTCCTTAGAACAATCAGAGTAATTTTGAGGCAAGGCCTCCTTAACGTAGCTTGTGGATACCTTACTGAACAACATAAGAGAGGCCCTTCATATCACATCCAAAGCAATTTCTGTAAACTGTCTTGCCCAAGGATACAACCATGTAAGCACTGAGATTGGTCTGTTTTTCAACTTTTAGAGAAACACAAACTGTGACAGGTTGGAAGCATTGAACCACACACCTCACACAGATTCTAACCAACTGAACTGTCATGGCCACTATTTTGATACAAAAAAATCAACCTATGAATACATAGCTCTTAAAGGCAAAGGAAAATTTTACATCAAATAATGCTTTTTTGATTGAAAAAAAATATAAATTGCTATTTCAAAATGTAAAACATCAGTGCAAATCGATTACAGTGTTAAGTTTTATGTTATTTTCATTTTGAAATAAGAATTACCTTTGTTTATTAGGACTGTTTTACGAGTGGTCTGTAAATTTCTTGCTGTATCCTTTGAAGGTAAAGGGTTTCCATGGTGACAAGTCTCTGAATACTCATGTGAGCTGTTAGGTCTTCTATTAGGTAACTCTGCTGAGTAACTCTCTATTCCATTAGAATCTCCATATGATATTTCTCTAGAGAAAGTGTTCTGAAAAGGATCTACTTCTTGGTTACCTCCCCTTTCTGGAATTTCAATTCTACTTTCTGATTGTGGGGGAAACATTTCTCTCGGCATGTTTGCATCTGTTTCAAAACTTAAGTAATTCCTAGAGTCTTGTCTCTGACCATCTGTATATTGTCCACTTGACATAGGTCTGCTATAGATATGACTTTCAAAAGTGTGATTTTCAAGATCATGACCTTCAAAAGTGTCCTGCCCAGCTCTATCCTTCACCTCAAAGTGTGTTTCATTGTAATGTAGAAAAGATTCATGTCCGTCATCATCATCATTATAAATCAGAAGGTTTGTTTCCATCAAATTACCAGAATTATCTAACAGACAAACGTCTTCCTCACTAAAGTTTTGTTCTGACAAAAAATCTAATTCTCCATCAGAAATTCCAAATTCACTAGCTGAAATATCCTGTCTGTCAATTTTGTGATGGCTTGGTATTTCAAAATTTCCTTTCACTGCTCTGGGAGGTTTCATTGGTCCATTTTTTCCTGATTTGTCTGCAGCATGCTGAGGAAGCTGCTCTAAATTACTTACATTTGTCATTTTCCTACTTAGCAATTCAGAGTTATTGCCCTTCATACTTGTAGAGGAAAAATGTCCCCTATTTGGTCCCTTCCATGTCAAATCATTCCGAAAGCTTTCAGTTTCATCCTCTTCATCACTCCGAGTTTCTGTAATACAGGTTTTCTCTCCATCCACTGAAACTCGCGATTCAAGACGTTTTGGTGTGGAAACTGATGAACAGTCCCACAACGATTTCAGAAAGTCAAGACCAATGTCACCTGGCTTTTTTCGCCAGAATCGTAAATTTGACACTTTTGAAGCATTAGCCTCAGGCAAAATGGCATTTTCTTGAGAAAGTATACAAGACTCTCTATGTTCGCTACCCATATCCATATCTGAACCATAGACAGGCAAAGTGTCTGCCTCAAGGTCTCTCAAGGTAATCTGAACATCACCTGTTGCCATATTTCTTGTGATACATTGTCATCTCATTTCTGGAAATTTTCATTTATTCATTTGTAGAATCTGTTGTTATGTAATACACAACAATTCTGTTGTTTTGTGGTTACACTGCTGATTATCTCCCTTCCTCAAAATGAAAGAGGTCAGAGATACTGCAAGATCTCACCTGGAAAGGAAGATATTTTCCCTAATGATACAACCTGAAAAGGAAAAGAAAACAATAGAATTTAATTTTAGCTGATGATTATGTGTATCATAAAAGTCAATAACAAAATAAGTGCATATGATATATGATTATATATGATAAAAAGATAAATAGAAATGGTTATTCATGTGAATTCAAGATTTAGAAAGGGCTCCCTGTGTAAATACAACTTATCACAACCATCCATGACCATATTACAATCCTACGACAAATAATAAATAGAGAGACTTTCATCCTGCTTTTGACACTGTGCCTAAGTATAGCAAACTGTTCTATAAATTGGAGTTATCTGGCATTAAAGTTCCTATCCATCTGTGTTGAAAACACTTCCTCACAACAAGATACATGAAGATTGTTTTAAATGGAATGGATATGAGTTGAGTCTAGGTTTCCCCATGGACTGATTTGTTTCTGAAATACTGGAGACTGTAAAATCCAATACTGGAGATTATACAACAATATCCACTTTCCCTATAGCAAAAGACTTAGCACACCAGGCTGAAACATATGAAATGAAATTCAACAAGTAGAAGTGTAACATCCTAAGCATCTACTTCTACACAACACCATCCTTCAGACAGGCACCTCAGAACCCATTCCTAAGTGTAACAATATCCAAAGACCTTATATGGAGTACACACATTAGCCACATAGCAAAGAATGCCAATTCAACACATGGCTTTCTCAAACGGAACATTCCAAGTTGTCCACCAATTGGTACTACCTAAATCCCGATGGCCCGGCTTATCATACCTGAAGAGGGATATCAACAAATCCTTCAAACACAAAGCACCCAGATTTACGTCAGGTGACTATACTGCAAGGGACACAGGACTTGTGATACAGATCTTAACCTTTGACCTATTGAGAGGTGGCATCACATCAGGCTTGTTCACTTATACAAAATCGTTTTTGACAGGTCTTGGTCATCAATAACAGCAGCAAACTCCAACTACATTGTACCAGCGTGTTAAACAGATCAATGCAGGGAAACCAGGGGTTCTAGACTGCTGCACCTTTTGTAAGACTTTAGTGAGGTCACTGGTTTGGACATCTATTTCAACATATGTCACATGGGGATCATACACAATTTATAGAATCTCAGGGATCAATCTAGGATTATCTTACTACTGGAATTTGGTTGTTTCAACTTGCAGCTGAAATTCCACTCTTATGGAAATTTTCCCTTGAATGTTACATTATATTCCCTTATTTTACATCAAATATTGATTTACTCTTGAATATCCCCTATTTCAGCACATATTACATTTCGATCAATTCAGTTTTAGAGTTTTTGAGTAGAATTTGATGGATTAGGCACATTGTATATTTTCTGTTTTAAAAAGAATCTTACATTATTCCAAAGTTGTTTGAACAGTCAATCACAAAATGCTGGAAAACTATCAATCGTTTTCAGCCCAAGAAACGTGCTCCTATGGTCCTTATTTTCTCCTGGTCACATCAGGATACTTTCCCACCTATCCTAGATTGATCCCTATACATTAATTGAAAGTGGACACAAGAGTTCGTTTCAAATGATAAAATATATGCGATAAGTCTGGCTTGGAGCTTATGCTATTATCCATCTCACATATATATCAATTTAAATACATAATTTTCAAAGAATGTGTGTTTAGGTTGAAACAATGATGAATCATTATTTGAAACCAACCCTACTTTCGTTTTGTAATTAATGCAACTTCCTCAATACTAAATTAAAAGACGTGCTGATAACCATTCGATTGTCAGCTAACTTCCTTATTCTATCAATTAAAACCATCAGTATTTAATTATAAATAAAGTACTTACCTTTCACACTTTTGAGAAAACCACTTCAATAACAATTCGGCTTTACCGAGTTTTCTTTTTCCCATCCGGTTACTGTACTTGATGCTATTTATAACTTACGGAAACTTCACAATCATGCTCAATTGACCGCTTGTATACTATTTGACTGGATTACCTACCTTAGCGCAAATTTTCTCCGCTAGATCGCGCTCTTCAAAACATGAAGGTTGCACAAACACGAACTATTTTAATCACTGGGCCGATTTACTCAGTCTCAGAAATAGGTATGGCTAAAACAAGATACCTTAATATGATATATGTTTGTATATAAGACGTTAATTCAGGTATGTGTAATAATTGATATTTGAAATATAAGAAGCTGTAAACAAGTCATTTCAACTTGAAAATAGTGAAATGTTTTGCTATTTAGCATTTAATTGGCTGTACATATAATAACTGAGAATATTAGACTTTTTATAGGAAACATCTCCTGATCTTCATATAGTTTTAGATATGGATATAGAGGCATTAGTTTTGCCTGTGTCCATTATCTACTTATTACTTATTACTATTACTTAAGGCGCAACGTATCGATAACATTTTCATACAAAAACCTACATCTAGGTCTATATGTACATAGATAATTTATGTATATGACCTATTTTTAATGACTTTTCACATTCAAGCTCATATAAACGAAAAACAACTATAAAATTACAATAACGACGAACTTAAACACAAGTCAGTATAGCCATTTGTGTTCAGTCAGATAATTATACAGGGACACCAGAATAAAATGCTTTCAAATGTTTCTGACGACAGAACGTGCTCAAAATCAGAAAAAAAAAACTGTTTATTACAAGATTATGCTGTGGCATTTTCAGACCACTCAGCTGTCAAACTCATCATCGCTGCGATAGAGTGAGATGACGGGAAGTAACTCTGAGAGATAAGAATAATGCTGAAATTGGGAGACCTGCATGTTTGATCAAATGAATATACAGCCGTACTTTATCCAATACAACGTACAATTTACATGTATTTTTTTAATTAAAAAACAACATAAAGCATTCACTTTTCATATCAAATCTCTACCAGTTTCGCAACGTAAACTGAAAACTTCTGCCGTTTAATTTTCCAATGAAGTAGGTGAGATATAGCTCCTTACAAACAGGGAGCAATTGTTAGAATTCTTTGTCACTTAAGTTTGCCCTGTAAATATACAATCCTTCACAGGTTATCTATACAGATCTAAAAGAGTTCTAAAAATCGGAAGTGTGTTCCCTATTTTGAAGGAACGGAAACATCCTTGCACGTGCTTGTAATATGCTTGTAATATGCTAAAAGTCAAGTTTGTGTTTTGGCGAGGACGTTTACATCGTCGATACTCCAAGTGTTACGCTTACTATCGCCCCCTGCACCCCTGGAAATTTAAAGCCAAAATTGAAGGTTCCATGTGCGACATTTTGTGGAAAAAAAGAGAGAGCTAATTTTGCCTTTTTGATCAGACGATCTCGAGGCCGTATGACGATATTGGTTTTCATGTTTGGTGTCGTTACTCTGTAATCAGAAAGGACCATATCGGTGTGTGATTGGTAATTTTTCCCAAAACAGGCTCTAAACCATTCAAAGTTACATTACTTGTGCTTTCAGTTTTACCAGGAAACTATTCAGAGTTGCAGAGAGCGAAAAAGATCAAAACCACTGAATTATTGAGGATGGGACGTAAAACGGAAAATCCTATCAATTAAAAACGATATTATACAACTACCAGGATTTAGGATTACACGGGACATACTTTTTTAATTGATTTTTTCCTCGTCTAAGCACGGATTTGGTTTGTTTTGTTTTACATTTCCTCACACAATTAAGAACACTTCCATATGCACGGTTGGACGTCCGCGTTCCCACAATCGTCCGCTTATCCTTTGTTAACACTACTTCTCGGGAGTGCGCTTGGAGTATCTTTCTCAAATCGCTATGTAGATTCCCCTCCGTCTGTAGCTTTGCAATTTCAAGGACTGAATAATTACAAAAAACATTGATAGATATGATAGAAAATGTCCATCTTGGATTCTGATTGGAAATACTTGATGTCACTATTAATACAGAAGATCGGGAATCCATTCGCTAATTTCACACGCGTTCTATTTTTGGTCCATCAGGAAAAATGGTCTGCAAACGAATTTACACACATGTATCTCATTTTACGACAAATTATCAATTAAATATAGTGTTTTAAGTTTTATTCGTGTTGTTTTTGAGACGGAAAGATAATTTATTGACTCTATTTAAAAGATGTTTGATGAATTGTTTTGGGGTATCAGTTGTACGTTCCAGTTCGTCCTGTTTTTGCAAGTTCATCATTTTGTGACGGATTTGAAAAAAAAATATGACGATGGATAGGGAACCATATTGGATTTGGACTCTAGAAGATTCTTCCAGTTATTTCTTCCGAGGCACTGAATGGACAATTAAAACTTCATCTATATCAGTCCGGAATGCGAGTTTTCCGGAATATCAGCGTCCGGGTTATCAAGGAACCACTGAATATTATTCCGGGTTTAATTTATCGATGAGATATGCATGCGATTAAATCACCTATCAATTTAACAACTAAAAGAAGGGAGACAATCTGCTGTGATCACCTTGGGACCTCATACATGTATAGCAACAGTGACATTAATACCCGGGACAAGGCAAATGGATCGGAAGCGATTTTTTTGTGCCCCCGGATCGAAAGACTTGAACGGCATGTGTGTTTCTTGTAACAAGATCTTTCCAGTGGTACCAAAATATTTCCTTGACCGTGACCTTTGACCTACATTTGAAAAAACATATCATCGGGTTCAGTACACTTATGGATTTAGAAGCGTTCCAAAAATGATTTGTAATGTGAAATAGTTCATTAGAAAACACCATCACACACATTCGATTCAATTAACTTTATTATTCTGTATGCAATAGCATGTAGGATTTCATATAATTACATATTATGACAAGACTTTGTACATGCATACATATACAAAAAAAAACATGAATAAGTCATAACCCACTATCTCATTAATGACAAACAATCTCAACAGGAGGCGGGCTAATAAAATACCATCAGTCAACAATACTCTACTTGTACCGATATAGAAATTGATGTGAACTGTTTTACCTCATAACTTTGTGAAAAGAGTAAGGAAATCAATATACAACCCTGTATTAATTTCACATTCATATTACATCTAAACATAAAAGATGTATTTAGTATCTCTTGTATGCAATAATAACTTTCTACACCAAAGTTTTTTTTTTTTTTTTTTATACATTATTGCTAGAAAACAGTTGAATCAATTCTAAAACAGATGGTCGACGATTTAATGGCTTGATATATAACGACACAATTTCTGAATTGCTGGACTGTACATGTGAAAGTATCAAACGAGTTTCGTCCTGAACTTCAATTTTGTCACGCAGCGTGTACAATCGTTGAGTGATAGAGAGACTATGATACCCGTATCTCCCAGTCTCAACATTAAGTGTAAGGTCATGAAACGTATACTTAGAGAATATGTTATCTTTAAAGTTAGTGGTTTATTGAGATAGGACTTTGTATCAAACTGATCTACTATATATTTATATGAAATACACTTTACAATGTGTGTGATATCAGCAGTTGACCTCAGGTGTTTGTATGTACAAACACTTCCCACTAAACCCGAAAACTTGAAGTTTCGGAGATGGGACGTCGACACCGATGATCCGGGGTAACAACATTCAAAATTTTAAAAAAGAATAAAAAACTTTTCATTTTTTCCATAAGTTCCTCTCCTCTCATATTGAATACATATACAGTATACTGTACAGAATTAATTTAAATTGTCAAGTTTGAATATTACATATTGTATATAGGAGGTTGAGACAATGTAACTATCACCACATGTCAAAAGTCTTATCATATCATTTAGGTCTCCGATTAGATTTTTACATATATATATCTATATATATATACTTATATATATGTGTGCGTGTTGGTGGCGGTCCCAGACTATAGGCAAGCTCGATTTGTGCTAAACGACGGTGTACATATATGAACGCCTATTGAACGACACACGACGGCGTTCGACGTCAGCAAATGAATGATTCCGTCTCACATTCCAGCAGGATAATGCTATTACTTAAAAATATTGTAACCCTGGTAAAATACTAGCCGCAATATGCCACTCGACTAGGGACAACTTTTCTTTAGCTCGATTGGTTGAGTGTCAAACTAGTAAGCCAGGGTCCCGGGTTCGATTCCTAGCGAAGGCATTGGAATAAATAATGACCTCTGTTATAATATTAAACATTAAACATCTCAAAATCATCTTCAGACTTTATCCTACGTTTCTTTATCCCCGTGAGTATATATAGGGGAATATATATATGATGGCCATCAGAAAAGTATATAGGGGAAGGTTTATATTTAACGATAGCAATGACCAGCATCAAGAGATTAACGCAATTATAATTTAGAATTGATACCTGGTCTGGCACATCCCCATGGACTTATTTTCCTTGTTACATCTTTGAAACTGTTGAGATCCCCACCCATAACGATATATAGCAATGCTGGGGATCACGAGATAACCACATTCACAATGTAAGAAGTGGCCCCAACTATCTGGATTTATTTTCTGGATGGTTTCCTTCAAACAGTTGTAATTCCCATCCTATAACCATATATAGAGTTGGCATCAAGGGACATTATTTCTGGATCATATTTTTGATATAGTTGAGATACCAACCTGATAACCATTTAAACTCTTACTGGAAACCAAAAGAGAAACACAGTAATGATAATAAAAATTTACCAATTGGTTTTGCCCCATCAAAGAAATTAAAGAAACTGGGCTTTGGAAATATTTGAAATACCCAACCTAAAGGCATGTATAACAATGCTGGGCTTTAAGATCCAGGTAAGTGATACAGGCCCTATGTACCTGTTGTTTTATGTACACATTCTATAAAGCTGGTGCTTTTTGCTACATGTAATGTAATCAGTGAAAATTTTTATACAGAGTGACTATTTTTTTCTCTGTTTTGTATTAAAATGAGCCAAAGACTGATTCCTGTGAATCAATGTTGAGCCAAGACTTTTATAATTGTTATCAGTAAACTGCCTGCAGTTACACTATACAAGACTGAAAGGATTTGTGCCTGCCAGGATGACAGACCCAGGCCAGTTTCATTTCAGAGCAGGTATCTTTCAGAGTGGAACTAACTGGTCTTTGGCCTTTTACATAAAGTGTAAAGGGAGGTAAGTGTGTGGCACAAAGTATGGGTATTATGGAGTTTGACTTCCAAGAAAAATAGAGAACATTTTAAAGTAAAACAACACTGCAGTATAGGATTATTATAAGTCCCCCTTACCTCTAATATTCCAGAAAATTACACCAGATACTATTCCGATAGTCATCATAAATGTATCCCCCTTATTATGTATCAGATTATTGTCCCCTAAATACTATTCTGATAGCCATCATAAATGTATCCCCCTTATTATGTATCAGATTATTGTCCCCTAAATACTATTCCGATAGCCATCATAAATGTACCCGAGCAAGATTCATTGCCCCACCTGGGTACTGCCTACAGGTATTATGTAACACCTGACCAGGTAATAGGTTAATTGGACACCTGTATAAGTATCCCTGGTATCTGTGGCTAACTGACCAACAACCGAATAATAAACAGGATAACAGATAAAGTTATAGCATTGATCTCAAGGAGGGATACAATTACTATAAGGGGGATACTTTTCTGGTAGGCAAAAATATCTCCGTATAATTTTATGATGGGGGGGGGAGGGTATCCTGGTTCTTTTATGATAGGGGATACAAATATGATATGACATCGGGTGGACAAGCATACATGCGGTTATTTATTTATTTTTTTAATAAATTAGAGTTATTCAACCCTCGGCCATTCAATGCCTTGGTTATCCGCTGCAAAACAAGCGCTCTTTCACTGGAGAACAGACTAACAAATCAAGCTGGCCTGAACTCAGCTGGCCTTGAACCCCACTGGTGCCTCGAGAAAACCCACAGAAAATCTGGGTCATTTCTGCGTTTTGGTGACAGGGCCTTCACACACTGCAACCCGAGCAGTTCGTAACGCCGCTCTTGTGTTTACAGTATCGTGAGGACCTAGAAAAACCGTTAACCAGCTAAGTGAACATCCTATAGTGAATCTTCCGCTAGAAAGCTAGAAAGCGTTATGACAGCGCTGCGAATAGTTCAACAGGGTTTGCGAAACCCTGCATTATCTGTATACGGTGCACGGATTCATCCGATCGCCGCAGTTACTGCAAACAGAGATGGATACTCCCCGTTTCTGACAAGGACATTTACGCACACGTCATCAGAGAACGGACATCACCAGTCTCCAAAATGGTGGAAATCGGCTGCTGTCGTCGGTGTTACGGCTGGACTTGTTGGTAGGCTTTCTAGAAATGTCATGATATGCATCTGTCTAGTTACCGGCCACAGTGATACTTTAGTACATCAGTCCGCCACCAGGCACATATTAACCCACTGAGAAGATTTGGCCTGAAGCATCCTTTGGGGAAGAAGAATAAATATGTAAAAATTATGAGTCACAACCCCTAGGGAGCTAAGTGATTTTTTTAAAATCCTACACCACATGTAAGAATGATTTTGTTCAAATTTGGTCTGAAGCATCATTTGGTGAAGGGGGCATAAATTTGTGCTTGCCAATGGTGGGTCTTTGCCATCTAGGGTGGGAGGGGAGGGGCCAAAAGCAGAAAAAGCACATTCTTTAAAATCCTACTCCTTTGAATTCTGTAGGAATGGTTGGATTTTGTCCAAATATGGTCAGAAGCATTATTGTGAAATGAGCATGAGTTTTGTAAACAATGGGTCTCAGGTCCCTGGGATGGAAGAGGCATGGCCATATAGGCCAAATTCTTTAAAATCCTTTTCTTCTGTAACAATTTCATTTGAAGCGATACTGATTTCACTGACCCCTAGATACAGAGGGTTTTGGCCAAATAGGAAAATAGATATGGGGATGTAGGGTAAAATCCTCTCGTACAATGCAGAACAATCCAACAAAGCATCACCTATACAGCTCTAAGTTAAATTCCTCAAACTTAACACTCCAGCTCTTTTTATACGAAACGCCAATGGGCAAATGGATCCTCGTGTGCATGATTTTAAGGATAGACGTAAACATTTGGAAATTAATTAGGGTAAGCACTGTAAAAAAACCCTCAAGTGGTGTTACATGGAGTGACTGAATAAAGACCTCTTGAAGTAAGAGGTCATAATTAAATTACATGGTATCAAACAGACAAACAGTAGCAACGGTTCGAGCTAATTAATACATCATAGGTTAACGGGTTGAAATCGACACCATTATCTTAACATGTCAACACGTACATAAATCAAATGTTCAAAACAATACCGTTGAATTAAGACATAAAGACAAATACTGCAAAAGCAGAAATATTTGTTTATTAACCATACTGAGTATGTAAATGAAATTCTTAAAGTTTGAGTGGAGCAAATAAGACAGAAATTATATTCTCTTTGGTTGCAAATTTTCTCATAGGTGGCATGACTATATTTGCATGTCCAGTTTATGATAATACCAATTCACAATAGACAATTTTTCATCGGTATGTGTACGATATGTAGGATTGTTTCTCTAAAAGACTTAATGTATACTGGGTCATTGTTATTACATCCACATTGTAAGTCGGGGAACAGATGACGATGGTGATGGTGTGGTTGCTTACGATAAATGAAATGTGTCAACCCCATGGCTAGATGTCCACAAATACAAGTCTATTCATTATACAAATGTGAAATTTTTCCCTATGAGAAAGTTACCAAGTGGCTAAAAGAAATGCCATTTTTCTCTGAATGTACATAACTAATATTTTGAAATTTAAAATGAACAACAGTACTGTTCATGACCAAGCTTGCTATCTTTTATAGTGACAAACAGTTTTTGTTTACGTTTGATATTTCTAAAACAAAACAAATGTTTAGGTTATTTACAAGTGCAAAGTCCCCCTAAATTTTACTCCAACAATGTTTAAGGATACATGGTGAGAAACTGATGATAGGCTCCTTGTAGCCCCTTGTAGCCCCTTAACTTCCCGAAGGCAATTAATCCGATGCTGACTGTCATGTTTTCAAAGTTCATGTTTTTATAACATTTAGCATTTTTACGTAAATCTACATGGACAGCAGTATAAAAAGCAAATTTTTTTTATGAAAATCCATGATAAAATCACGCACACTTATTTTTCCTTTTCCAAATTGAAGCAAACAAAACATAACACTCTCCACTAAGGAGTTACAAAATGTTAAAAAAGTGCACATGTTAGATAAGACAGAAATGTTCATATGTTGGTGACAATGTAAACATTTGTATTTTACATCAATGGAAACTGCCATGTTTGAAAGCTACGTACATATATATGTAGGTCAACCAAGCGAAGGAACGAAGTTTGGAGTTTTAAGTGTAGTGAGAGCACACTTAATGGGTTCATTTAGTGATTATACTTTAAGTACACATATTTGTCATTAGGTTTTAAGCTATAAGAGGTTTTTTATTCCAGAATAATCACCAAAGACAGGTATAGCACTTGGGAAATAAGTTTCATTAACAAAATAATATACATGTATGAAATGTTCTTCCATCAATTATGTATCAATAGTCTGTAGTTATCTATATTTGATTAATGACAAACTGATACTGCATTATTTTGTGTGAAAATTGTTACCACACTTTTCTTAAAATATCTGTTAATTTAAACTGAGATCTACTTGTCATGAAAAAATCAACTGCACATACTGTAATTGAACAGAAAAAACACATTTCTGCTAAGAGTTCCGACACCTGGAATCAAACCGGGACTCCAGAGTGATAATCCATGATTTTACTGAGCATAAGAAGTATGACCTGTCAGCTTAGTGACACAGACCATATATATTCAACACTGTATGTACAAACCACATGAACTGGCTCCTAACTGTCATCTGTTTCTGTTGCTCCACTATAAACGAGGTCCTACCTTAAAATTATGAAAATGACATTCATAAATGAGTTTCTGTTGTACTAGTAAATAGATAATTTGTCAATGGAAGCTAAGGTCAGTTCTGCCTCTGGTGTATGAAGTTATGGCATCATACTTGTAAAACATTAATCTGTGCAAAGATGTAGAATTGGACCAAATGTCAAGTTATTGTAACATTGACTCAAAGAAAAGTTAGATCAGAGGTCAAAGGTTAGAACTAAATTCACACATGTTGTCAGTTGACACAAGAAGAAATTGTTAAGAATCAAGAGTTTAACTTGCAAATATTATAAGTCTCTAAACATATACCGGGTTATCTTGAATTGACATGCTTTTTTTATGTACATACTTTGGGAACAAAGATAAAAACCTACTCGATGGAGATAAAACATTAGATACCATTAAAGTTAAAATTGTGGATGATCAGGTTGTGTCTGTTGGTGAACCAGCTCTCAATCATGCTCAGACTTGTTCGGGTAGTTTTAGATATCTCTGCTCTGTGTTCACCTGATCGGTCACATCCTGATTATAATAAACCATTGTTTATAAAATTGTAACAGTGTGGCAAGGTCACATCAGACCAAAAACTAGCTCGTAAAAGATCACTTCATTTTTAGGAGCAATATGATTTATATAAGGAAAATTTGTCCCTGCTTAAATTGTGAAAATAGTATAAACTGCAAGGCTTGAAGGAAAATACTTTATGTAGGTTTCTAAAATATATAAAAAAAAAATCCTACTTTTTTCAAAAATTATTTTGTTAAAGCCATAGTATTATTATTTTGTTTGTTTAAGTAAAATGGGATTTAATTTAACCACTGATAATTTAGGTCTTCACTTTCAGGGTAAAAAAGTCTGATTATCAAATTTATCAGTATATCATTAACCTGCAATGTTTTAGTTATTGAATGAGGTTTTAAATTGCTCCTGAAATAGGTTTACCTATGTATTAAACAAATCACAATTATTCTGTAACATTTAAAATCTACTTGTTATATATATATATACATATGTGTACATTCACTGTTATCTTGTACCACATATTGCTCCAGTGACCTTTTATGTTGGTCGGTTGACAGTTTTTTTGTCTCCGCCTCCTTTCGTGTCCAGACCTTGTCTTGCAGACAAACATGAGTGTTCTGGCAAAGTTAGAGGGGGTGACCTGCATCCCCCTGAGAGGGATGGAATGTTTGATAATACTAGTTTTAGAAGACAGCTCTAGAGTCTAATAATGTCTTATCCTGACTGTTGAAACTTGTCCAGAATCTGAAATATTGCGACGTTTCTGATGAAGCCATGGTTTGTGTTAAGGTAATTTTGAAATCCATCAAATGCCTTAAAAATAATTGTATAGCCTAACATTATCCCTAAACCCCTGGGCTGGCGTTATCACGCCTACTTATCGAAAGCCACAGAGGGATCTTCAGCATATGAGAGTGGACAGTTCTCCTATGGGCACATTTTATGACTATCAGCAACCTGTTCATATACATCCTAAAGATATGTAAACATAGCATGGGGCCTTGAAGTGTTGCTTGTAATTTAAAACATTATCTCGTACATGTAACCGGCCCATTGTTTCATGCTATCATTTCTGTAATTCAGAAAGTTGATTTGACATCTGGCGGGGCAGGTGGGGGCAGGGCTGGAAGTGGGAATTTGGCAGAAATTGTGCTTTAAAATCCTACTTTTTCATAACATCTCAGCATATTTCAACCCAATTCGGTTTGAAACATCATAATTCAAAGGGTTGGACAATCCTTTAAATTTGCTGAATCATCATTATGGACGGGCAGTGATTTCATCTTTATCACCACCCCTTCACTTCTTGGTTACAAGTTTGAGGCCTATTTGGGGCAGTCACCACCACCCAAACCTGGCACATGATCCTGGCTGTTAATATGGTGTTAATATAGGATATTATCAAAGTACTGTAGGTACTAAGAACACAAACAACAGAAAAGATTTTATCATTTGTGTTTGATGTAAATGTTAAACAAAATAATAAGTCCGCAAATCAATTAAAACAGGACAAATGTAATAGTCACTGGGATAAAAGTAAGTAACTTTAAACCATGAACACATACTTGAATATTGCATCAAATATTCATTATTACACAGAGACTTAATATTGTTTATACATTAACACTTGCTTAGACTATTGTGATGTGGTGATGTAGGCAATTGTTTTGATTACAGTAAACAGAGTGGATGGAACTTTCATTAATGTAGAAAATTTCTATTTGAAAAGAAATAGGCAAAGTTATTTTCTACCAAATAACCGTAACGTAGAAATAAGTAATCAAAGGTAATAGTTTAATTAACGATAGTTTATTGTCATCAAACAACAAAAAGATTGGTTACAATATCTTGTGAATATTAATGCACATTTTCTTTTCAGAACCAAACACATATTTATAAATGGAAATATTCTTCATTGGAAAACATCACTAAATAGGTAAACAAGGAGAAAAGATCAGAAGAAGAAAAGGATAAAGGCAACAAAAATATGAGCTCATAAATGGCATTTACAAAGCCACTGAAAAATATTAAATCCACCTGATTCAAATAATAAAAGTCATTCAGACCATAGCCGTTAATGGTCATCTGACAATCGTTGTATGGATGGACAAATCACAGCATTTGCAGATGGTTGTCTGACAAATCTGATGAATTCCCATGATGATATTTCAGACTACATTTGGTTGATATCCATACAAGCATTTAGTAAGAAGCGTCTTGAAGAAAAATCGTTCACTAAATTTCCCATTTGGGGCCCCACCCCCAGATCACTAGAGGTTGAATCAACTTTCTGAATCTAAGAAATGATAACCCACCTGCAATAATGTTTTAGACCCAATTTGGTTGAAATATACCCAGGCATTAAGAAGGAATCGGGTTTTGAAGCAAAATATTGCCTAATTTCCCCTTGTGGGAGCCCACCCCCCAGTCCTTATGGGTCAGATCAATTTTCTGGATGAAAGAAATGATAAACCACCTGCAATAATGTTTCAGACTCAATTTGGTTGAAATCCATTCGAGCATGAACGAATATTAGCGTTAGCAAAATCATCAACTAAATGTCCCATAAGGGGCCCGCCCTCAGGTCCTCAGGGGTTGAATCAGTTTCCTGAATTTAAGAAATGATAAACCACCTGCAACAATGTTTTAGATCAAATATGGTTGAAATTTACCGAGGCATGAAGATTGAGTAGTGTTTTGAAGCAAAAATTGTTGCCAGATTTCCCCCATTTAAATTTTGAAGCTAATTTCAGCACCTCCCCCTTGCAAACAACATGTAGGTAATATGTAAATTTTGATATTGTATTCCGTATTTGCCATTGTAGGTGCAACACTGTTAGCCAAGTCCCAATTGGATCCGCAGTTAGCTGCATCATCCGAGGAGCGTGAGGCAGGATCTCTGGTTCCAGGTCTACCAACCTACACTTTGGCAGATGTTAGTAAGCGGAAGACAAAGGATACAAGGATCTGGATGACCTACAAAAATGGAGTTTATGATGTCACCGAATTTGTATCTAATCATCCTGGTGGCAGTAAGATTCTTCTCGCAGCAGGTGGCTCAATGGACCCTTTCTGGAACATGTATGCTGTACACAAGAACAAAGAAGTATTTGCAATGCTTGAAGAACTTCGTATAGGGAATATCACTGAGGTTCCAAAGGAGGAGGAGCGTGATGCAAACAATCCTTATGCGAATGATCCAAAGCGACACCCTGCCTTGAGGCCAAGTTCATCGACTCCTTTCAATGCGGAGCCTCCTCTTCAGCTCCTTCCAGACAATTACCTCACACCAAATGACCTGTTCTTTGTGCGCAATCATCTCCCTGTTCCGGATGTAGATCCAAAAACTTACAAGTTAGAAGTTGGAATCGACGGCGCGTCACGAAAAAAGAACATCAATCTTAATGAATTAAAGAAAAACTTCCAGAAAAAATCTGTGGCTTCAATTGTACAATGTGCTGGTAACCGACGGAGTGAAATGGTGAAGATCAAATCAGTGAAGGGGTTGAACTGGGGAGCAGCAGCCATTAGTAATGCTGAGTGGGCGGGGGTATGTCTTGATGATATCCTAAGGTATTCTGGGATTGATATAGACACTGTTGATTGTGATCACATTATTTTTGATGGTTTGGATCATGACCCTACAGGTTCAACATACGGAGCATCGATCCCAATTGAACTTGCCAGACGTCTTAAGAAGGATATAATAGTAGCTTACGAAATGAACGGAGAGGATATTCCTCGGGACCATGGCTATCCAGTACGAATCATTCTTCCTGGAATTGTGGGAGCAAGACAGGTGAAATGGTTGTGTAAAATTACACTATCAAAAAAGGAAAGTGATTGCCACTGGCAACAAAAAGATTACAAAGGATTCCATGCGTCAATCGATTGGCACAATGTGGATTTCAGTACTGTTCCTGCAATTCAGGAACTTCCTGTCAACAGTGCCATCTGTGAGCCTGTAAATGGAGCAACTCTCGAAGACGGTTCGACAGAAGTGACAGTCAAAGGTTATGCATGGAGTGGGGGTGGTCGCGGCATCGTAAGAGTAGACGTAACAACAGATGGAGGAAAGACGTGGCATTCTGCAGAGCTGAAACATCCGGATCAACCACTGTACAAGACATATGCATGGACGCTGTGGGAAGCTACTGTTCCACTGCCAGCAGATAAGAAGGATGTTGACATTCAATGCAAGGCTGTTGATTCCTCCTATAATGTACAGCCCGACAATGTTGATGGGATCTGGAATCTGAGGGGTGTCCTTAGTAATGCCTGGTTCAAGGTCAATGTCAAAGTCCCAGGAGAGGAGCCACCGGCACAAAAGAAAAAGAGTTCTTGGTGGTAATGATCTGGCATAAACCACAAAGGTACACAACAGAGGTTAAACTAAAAAGAACATAGTATTAAGGTCACTGTTCAAAGGTCAAACCACAAAGGTCAATATATATATGGCCTAACTGTATAGGTTAATCCAAAGCGAGCCAACTTGAGTCAAACTACAAAGGTCAGTCTAATGAGGTCAGATCAAGAAAATTACTTTAGAAAGAACAAACTATTCGCTACACAAAGAAAAAACCACAAAGGTCAATCAAATGAGGTCAAACAACAAAGGTCAGTTTGTAGAGGTCAAACCATAGATATTGAAGCATGAATATTGAAATTAAAACATGTTATAAGTCATTGTGTCTGTGTTAGATGAAATTAAGCAGTTCAAAGTTGAGGGTAGGTGAAAGGTCAAACCAAAGAGACAAAATATGTAGGTGAGGTAAAGAATGTTTAACATAAATTACAAACGTGACAATGAAATCATGTATACATTTCAAAGGTGAAAGTATAGGAAGCTGGCCAACCCAAAAATCTGTTAAATTTTATACAAGTCAAACGGGACAAAGTGTGTATGTCAAAAAACGAAAAAAAATAGTCAGATCAAACAATATATGTTCAAGGTAGATCCTAACCATCATCTATATCAGCCCAAGAGAATAGTTCTGTCCTACCATGCATCATACTATAGAGGTTAAAATTATAACTGGGCACATTATTGGAAGTAAGAAACCATAGCCATTGTTTGTGTTTAGTTTGAATTTAGCAATATTATGGGAATTTCTTCTATTAATCATTGTAACACAAAGGTACAAAATAGCAATTAAGTATTTTTTGACGAGACTCCTCAGTACGAGCAAGATTCTTTCACACATGCAGCAGAGCATACAAGAAGATCATATCTAAATTACATGTCTTTTTAACACATAAATTTGTTTCCACAGTGAAACCTCTGAGTTAACTTTGATGGTTTAAACCTTAAAATATCTGTTTTTCTGTGGCTTGGTGAGGTTGAATTTTGTAAATTTTACAGTAATGTTTACTGTAATTTTAAAATCCAAAATAATTATTTCTGATATTTTTATTTTAATGTGAATTTTAATGAATATTACAAGACTACATTGTATGTGATAACTTTCCTCTTTTTATATTTTAAGGTTCAATATCAAAGCGACACATGGCTTGTTAGCGGAATTATGTGAGTGGCCTGACTGATATTGATGATCATTTCATCATCAGCAAAGATCTCGTAATTGATCTGGATCTTGTGATTGACTCAGATTTTGTGATCGTCTCGGATCTTATGATCGACTCAGATATTATGATTGAGTCGGATCTTATGTTTGACTCAGATTTCGTGATTGACTCAGATTTGGTGATTGACCCAGATGTTGTTATATGTCTATGATAACAGTTGAATACACCTTATAGGCACAAGTATTCACAACTTTGGAATGCCTTTCAATTGATCATTATGGTTGTTTGTTGCTGGATTTCTTTTCTTTTTTTTCTTCTTTGTTTTATCGTTCATAAATACCTTTAAATAGGAATGACAAGTTGTATAGTGTATCTTAAAAGAAAATTGATACAAATTTAATAAGATATCTTTCTTTAATTAAGTAGTATTTTGATTTATCATAAGCAGATATAAACAGCTTTTACTTAGTCGTGTAATCAAAGAAACATATTTAATTTGGAATTGATTTACTTGTGAGCAGTCAAGCAGTATTTTGATATAAAGAAATCTTATTTGATTTGAAAAGTAAGTTTATTTAGGGTAAAATTATGTTGGTTTATTAAATATAAAACAGTATTATTTTTTTTCTTTCAAAACAGACATCTATAATCTAACTATGTTACAATATGTATAAGTAATTCTGTAATTTAGTTGACTTTTCATGTTGATTGAATTTTGATCATGTGAATTAAGTGTTATGGTTTTGAATGAATTTATTTTTATCTGAACAGTATTGTGATTTCTGTTATCCATTAGTAATATACATGTACATCTGTATACATTGTATCAAAAGATGGGCTACATCAAAGCTGTACAAGTACTACATGTATATGGTGTAGTTTACTGTTGATTTACATCCTAATGTATGAACAGGTGACACATTAGTAATGCACTCGCCTTTCACCAAGCCATCAGGGGTTTTCTCCAGGTACTTCGGTTTCCTTCCACAGTAAGACCCCTCCCTGTGGGCTTATATCTGGGCCAACAAGGGTGATAGATATAAGCTGAAAGCTTGTTTCGCAATTGTTGTAAAATAAATAAAGTGTATATTATATTATATATGAACACCCAGGGCCATGGCTGGTTTGGTTGATGAAGAAAAGCTGGAGTTCCTGAAGAAAATCCACAAAACTGTACCTGGCAACATGTTGTGTGCAAATAAAGAATTTTCAAAAAAGATTTTGCAAGAATCGGTACTCTGTGTGAATTTGTCATTTGTTAAAGTTTTAACATCTCATAGTTTTTATATATGTTTATTGTATTGATGATGTGTAAGGATATTCAAATTCCATCTACAATTTTTGTTTCAAGTCGTGTGATTCAGTAACCAAATTTTCAAGGAAATTTGCCAAAAGTCTCATCCCATGTGCGTGTAACAAGAGCAAATGAACAAATTCAAACTTAAATTGATATAAATTAAAGTTACCACAGTATTGGTATTATTGATTGAACATTTCAGTTTAATCAAGTGTAATGTTGTTATGACTTTCATCAGTACCCATGGTAATTGATCGAACTAATCGAAAATGAAAAATTTTCCATTTCTAAACTGTATGATTTCATATTAATATCTAATTTTTTAAAAGCTTTTTGATAACAGTGAAATATTTTCCTCAAATTTAGATGAGGAGAAATTTAAAATAAAAAAAATACATTTATGATCAATAAAAGTTCCAATATTTCATTGCATGCCCAACCACGTGGGTTTTCCCCTTCCTTCCCCCACCCCCCGACTAGAGTTATTAGTATAAGTTGTTATAAATTGTTTCACAATTGTTGTAAAATAAATAAAGTTTAATATGAAATTTGATTATATAAACAACTTAGCTTATTGTAACTTAATGTCAGAAAGAACTAGAGGTCAAGTTCACTTAATTTTCAATAAATGAGGTAATGTTTCATTAACAATAGGGTTGAGTGGGAGGTCAGGGTCCTCTCTAACTAAACTTGAGTGATATTATTTTTTATAACGATGATGGCTTTATCAATCATCATGTATCTTGTAAAGTGAAAGGTTGAAATGCCAAGAACAGCAGTATTTTTTCTGACATTTAATGAAGAGATATGATGTCATATTGTTGTATGTATATATTAATACTAGAATTACGTTTTCAGATGAACATCAAGTTGAAGGTTTTCAAATTTGAATTTAATCTCATGTGCATTATAATATGTAGTATGGGTTGGTAAAATTACTGAAAATTATATTCAAAGTTGAATACAGTGGTTTAATCAAGTGATCAAATCATTTTACAAAGATAATGTTTTAGAATTTTTGATTGGTGTATCTGCTCAGAATATCTGTTAGATGAATGAATTGCTGCTAAAATAATGAATAAAGAAATGTTTGAAAAATGTATTGCTTCTTATGAGTGGTTTGTTAGTATTAAAACTGATAAAAATATCGAAACATTCCCTTTTAAAATTTGCTTTCATTTCTATTCTATTCTTATATATATTCACGTTGTAAAAAATTTTTTTATATTTATTTCATAATATTTAATTTATAATGTTAACTTTATAATATTTATTTTATATTTATTTTCTGACAATTATTTTCAATAATTATTTTATAATATTTATTTAATAATATTTACTTTGTAATATTCACTTTATAATATCTATTTTATATTTATTTTATAATATTTACTTGATGATATTCTCTACGACTTTGTTACGTACACAATAATTATGTAGTATTCTGTCCTTGGTTACATTTTCTTTATTGAAACTATCGTCCTGGAAGGACACAACTATGAATATGTCGGTGTTCTGTAGGCCAAGTCTAAGAAATCTATTACAGTTATCTCCCTTCTTTCACGAAATCCACACCCGGAAGTTGGAACTGATTACATGCCGATATTATTAGGCCTATATAGTCAAGGCTATTAAGATTTAATAGTCTTAAAGGCATTCCATTTATTTTCATCTGACCTGTTTTTATTTTATAACTACTACAAAATAACAACAATAGCGTGTCAACTTTATAAATTTAAACTCAAAATCAATGCATTTTGAATATACACGAAGTTCTAAGAAAAAAGTATATTTCATATTAAAAAGACAGATAAAAAGCCTTTAAATGATATTGGTACAAATATTCATCTTTGATCGATGTTTAGAATTTTTAGCATTATACTTAGGGCATTGTAACACAACTAACGTAGGAAGACAATTTTTGTCTTACTAGGCCCTGTTCGGGTCTCGAACTCGCGATCTTCGCCACCAAATCTGCTAGCCAAAAAATTACAGACTTCTATTTTAGGTCATCTGACCAGATGACCTATAGTCATCATGCTTCGTCCGTCGTCGTCCGCCGTGCGCCGTGCGCCGTCCGCCGTGCGCCGTCCGTAAACTTTTCATTCAAACGACTTCTTCTCAAATACTAGAAGGTCTAGGGGGCTAATACTTGGCACAGAGGATACTGGCATGGAGCTCTACCAAGTTTGTTCAAATGAATGACCTTGACCCACTTTAAAGGTCACAGGGGTCAAATATGTTAAAATCTTTAAACAACTTCTTCTCATTAACCAAAAGGCTCAGAGTGTAGATATTGGGCCTGTGACATGCTGGGATGAAGTGCTACTAAGTTTGTTCAAGTGAATGACCTTGACCCACGTTCAAGGTCACAGGGGCCAAATATGTTAAAATATTTAAATAACTTCTTCTCAAATACTAGAAGGCCTAGGGGGCTAATACTTGGCCCATAGCATGCTGGCATGGAGCCCTACAAAGTTTGTTCAAATGAATGACCTTGGCCCACTTTCAAGGTCACAGGGGTCAAATATGTTAAAATATACAAAGGACTTCATCTCAATAAGCAAAAGTCTATGAGTGCCGATATTGGGTCTGTAGCATGCTGGGAGGAAAGGCTACCAAGTTTATTCAAATGAATGACCTCGACCCACTTTCAAGGTCACAGGGGTCAAATATGTTAAAATATACAAACGACTTCTTCTCAACAAGCAAAAGTCCATGAGTGCTGATATTGGGCCTGTAAGATGCTTGGAGGAGAGGCTACCAAGTTTGTTCAAATGAATGACCTCAACCCACTTTCTAGGTTTGGCTTGCTTTTTATCAGATGACCGTTAAGGCCCATGGGCCTCTTGTTTTCAAATTCTAGACTGCCTTACAAGTATACAACCACGACTTCCTCAAAAAAAACTTCTTGAAGTTGTTCTTGTAGTTCTCGACATGGTCATTGTGACAAATCGTCTTAGTACATGAAATGAACACCTTACAGATCGCAATGTACATACAACACACATCAAACTCAATTCTATAAGGAACAAGAGGCCAAGAGCCTCGTAGATCTCTGTATGTATATCTCAATGCAGTAGAAACAATAATAAAATTCAACTTAATAGGTTTAGAATAATAAGCAGATGTTTTAATGTTGATCTACTTTCGACATCAAAATGGTGTCAGAGTATCAAGCAGGGACGTCCCTGTATCAAGTCAGTGTATCAAGGAAACAGCTGTATGATGTACCATCACTGACGAGTCCTAGAAGTACGAAACAGCTTTATGATGTAGCATCATTGACGAGTCGCAGGACAAAACAGCTGTATGATGTAACATCACTGACGAGTCGTAGAAGGACGAAACAGCTGTATGATGTACTATCACTGACGAGTCGTAGAAGGACGAAACCGCTGTATGATGTAACATCAGTGACGAGTCCTAGAAGGACGAAACAACTGTATGATGTACCATCTCTGACGAGTCGTAGAAGGACGAAACCGTTGTATGATGTACCATCATTGACGAGTCGTAGGACAAAACAGCAGTATGATGTAAAATCAGTGACGAGTCCTAGAAGGACGAAACAGCTGTATGATGTACCATCTCTGATGAGTCACAGAAGGACGTTATCATGGAAGAGGACATTGTTGTTAAATGGGAAACCGGAAAACACATAACCGACATCACTCCACAAGCTAACTTAAAGTACAGGTAACCCCTTATCCCTCTGCTTCCAACTTTGATCTCATACCTTGACGAGAGTATAAAACGTGTACATAGGGTCTCCTGCTGCGACCGCACGTGACACAAGTTTGTAAGGTGTTATCTACCTGTAAACATATTTCACACATTAGTACTCAAAGGGTGTGAAATGAGATAATTTGATTAATGAACTAATCTGTTTGATAATAACTTGTGTATGTTGCATGTATAAGGAGAATGTATTTAAAAGAAGTGTAATTACGGAAATATTTATCGAAGTCCTTGATATAATTTATCATGTTAGTAAGTAAATAAAATCACTAAAAATTAATAAATAAACAACAACAAAAATGCCGACTTAATGTAACGAATGCGCAATATCAATTTCATTACGATATACATAATCATATAATTGAAAATACTTAAAATGATTAAACAAGCAGACATCAACGTTGAAGATGATGTGACCCGATTGATTATAAGTAAAGGCGTTGTTTCTTCTGTCAGGTAGTTTTATTATGTACAAGCAGAGTCTGTCATATGTGTGAGAGATGGTGTTCCCTTCTCCAAAGCTCCCCAACCTTCTCTGCAAAACCCCAAAATCTGTCGTCTATTTAACACCCTGCTAAAATGACCGTTGATCACCACCACTTAACTAATGTATCTTGAATCATGAATCTACGCTGATGTTAGTTAAATCATTGCTGACCAATACAATCCATAAATCAATACATACTAACTTTACATAGGAATAGGTACATAGATAATACGTATATAGAAATAGATACACATACAAATATATACTGCGTAATGAGATGAAATCATCCTGGTTAGTTTGTTATCCTACTTCACCTATATTTAGTGTTTACTGCCTCGCTACATCTACATAAATCTTATTAACTAAAGATACACGTTAGGGCTGGCAATAGATATATTAATTATAGATCAACAGTAAATTTATAATTAAAATGAAACCAATAGTTTTGTTTCTGCTATAATTTGTTATAATGTGATAGAACACCATTTCCCTGTAAGCCATCTTGCTACAGTAATTTATAGATATTTTCAATTTATACATTTCTGTACTTATGGACCGTAGCGCTATATAGAATTTCTGTCACGAAACACTTAGATCAAATTGCTCAACTATACTCAGAAACTGTAAGCAGAGGTAACTCGCTTCGTTACCCTTGAGTCGTCTGATTGGCGTCAGTAAATCTCACTAATAAATAATGCTTTGGGTACCTGTTGTTATCTATGTGTCATCTTCATACCCTATAACAGAATATTTTGATTTGAAATTTTACTTTTTTGAAATTTTGCATTCAATTGAGATACAATTTTTTTGCGGAAATTTTACCGCAAAGATTTTGATTCAAATATCTGCAGACTTGAACATCCCTTCATTAAGTCTATACAGAATAGGATATTAATGATAATACATATTGTAAATATATACATGTTTTCATTCTGTAAATGTTTTCCATTTGAAAATGTTATAACTTGGTTTTCATCCCTTGTTCTGAGGTTGACCATTAAGGTTGATGTTAAATGTATAAATCTATCATTCATAATTCATACTGAGGTTAGGTTGTGTATTTTCTGAGGGCATCGGTACACCATCGGCCCCTCGACATCGGACACAGCGCCAGCCTCAGTCATGGTGTAGGTGTGTTGCAGATGACAAAATTCCTATCTCGCGCGCTTAATTCCAACAAGATCGATTAAGGTTTACTGACTGTTTCTATCTTTTATTAATGCCATATATTTTAAAGTTATTTTTGTAAGGATTGACATTTTTCTTTACATTTCCGAACGACATAAACTATAATCTCGTTTTGTAGCGTTCGCAACTTGGACAAGTAGTTCTTACATTTTATTTGATATCTTTGCGCAAGCCTAATCACCGTACGTAAATATAGAAAATTATTAACATTGGGTTGGGCTTACTTCATCTAGAGAGAATGCAACGCAAGTGTATATATAACGAATATAACATGCCCCTCATTACAACGTTTCAGCGCCTACAATTTATAAGACAAACATTTCTGAATAAAATCTATCAACCTGATTAAACGTTTCCGCTCCGTTTTGAAATGTTTTGACATTCTATCAAAATTTATGTCGGTCTATGAACGGCAGACTGATTTCGATGTCGATATAACCTCAGAATGGTTCGAGCTGTACAGAGTAATATTAAGATCTGATTTAAATGAGATGGAAGGTTTGTTGTCTTTATAACACAGACAGCAGAATATTCTTGTTCAACGAACTATCGACAGATCGTAAAAAAGGCAAATCGACAAATAGAGTAATCTTCTTGCAATGGTACCTTCAGCTAGGAAACTGCATGAACATTGAAAAACACAGTGTCAATGTTCTTTTTCTAAGACATTAAAAGTAACTTAAACA